CCCGGAAAATCTGCAGGGTCACTTTCAGGAGACTGGCTGGAGCATTCACTCCCCTTCTTTGACGCACGGCGCTTCTTACACCTGGGATAATGAATACCCATCATGTGCACGGGCAACCGTACTCCACAGACGCTGCAGTCACTGAAAACATTTGGAGCTGCTGTAGGGGACTCAGATGGGGTGGTTGAGTTAGAAAATTCTGTCTTTGTCTCCCCGGTTGTTTGCACGTCTAGTGAAACTACGCTACATTTAGCTGCATGTTCGACCAACAAAGACAGATGAAATAGCTTACGACACTTGGGGCAGATTTCAAATTGATCAAGATCAGCGTCATCTTCGCTGGTTTCCATTGCAAGAAGATGTTCACCATCACCCGAAGGATCCTCAGAGGAAACACATTCGTCGTCTATGTAGGCACTGCTTTCGTCGTCACCGAGACGGACGTCATGGTGACCGCGGGCGAAGTCATCAGTATCATCACCATCTTCAGCTTTATCCTTACCATCTCTGCCGATGTAGTGTTCGTCATCGATAAGACCACCGACATCATCACCATGTGTGATGTCATCATCCTCTTTTACAAGTCTAACTTCATCACTATAAGCTCTATCTTCATCATCTCCCCCTCTACTAAGCTTAGAAGCGTCTTCATCGATATCTTTATTATCTGGTCTGATGATTACACTACTGTCGCTGTTTTTCTTATCACATTTCTCTTCAATAGACTTATGGTGTTCGATAATTTTGTCTTCATTATTAAAACAATCCCGGACGTTTATCACACTTTTTCTTTTACGATCAAGAACATCGTCACTATTAATATGTTCCCGAGTATCTGTTCGCAGAGATTCTAAGCCAGAACCAGTTTTACGCACTGCCCCTAGACATTCAACAGCGTGGCTTAATAGTTCTAACAAGCTAAATTCTCGTTCGCATTTTGGACAGAGCTCTTTATCCCCCATCGGAGAATCGTCCTCGCTTCTGGACGCACAATCAGAGCCCGGGTCAGAGAGAGAAGATTGGAAGCAATCTTCCCGCGATATTTCAACAGCCTTTATCATTGACAGGTTCTTACATTGGTCAACATGTTCCACAAGAGCTAAAACATCAAAGCAATTTGCACAATAAGGACAGGCTTCTTTCACACCGTCTGAGTCCTCTGAATCGGTACTTGCCATGGCGCTAGTCTTAGAGCAAGTTGAAACGTGGATGACGAGTTCCGGTACAGGAAATAAACCTGAGCAGAACGTGCATCTTTCTTTGGATTCTTCTTTCTCAAGTGTGGGTTGACTTCGATCAAGTGAAACTAACACAGGGCCGCTTTCAAGGGACCCCTTTTGCTCATTCTGCTCTGTTGAGCCTGAAAATGTTTCTTCAATATTTCCTTCGATGTTTCCGGATGTGCAGCTTGAATCAGCGCGTTTGTCGTTGATCTTAGACCAAACACAATTACCTAAATCCTCTTTAGACTCACACGTATGTGGAAAAGATCTGTAAGTTTCACTACCGCTCTCCTCGCTTACTTCACTCACTTTTTCGTCAGGATTATCAATTTTGTTATCAGTTTGCCCATTTGTCTCATTCAGCTGCTCGTTTTCCTCAATGGATTCAATGTCGTCTTGAACACCACTGTCTTCCTTTCTCTCAGCGTTTCCAGCATAGCAAATTCTCACATGGTCTCCAGGCAAACAACTTTCAGGTTGAAGCGATGATAATGACACACGATCTTGACTTTTAGCCTCCTGACTGAGGCCTTCACAAACTGCTTCATGCAAGGAAATGGTAACTTGTGGTATCCTCTTACCACACTGAACGCAGTTACCATATAGAATGTCATCAACCTCGTTCCCAGGGGGCCGAATGGGAGAGGACGCTGGGAACAAGATTGGAATGCCATGTGCAAACGGAGAATCGTGTTTCTCTTTTCCTGACTCTGATGGGCTTTCAGAAGGTAACTGGTCACAGTGGCTTGTCCCTTTCATTGCCAATGAAGTGGTGGCACAGGGTTTGACTTCATCTTTAGCACATATTTTCTGTATTCCGTTATCACTGGTATAAGATTTTTGTCGGGAGGTTGTCAGCGGAGTGGTACTCCCTTTGCCAATAATATCGAAACCAATATAACTATCTCTATGGCCAGCAATTATGTCTTCCACACGGTTTTCAAGGTTTTCCATGCAATTGTCTCCACTTTTAATGTCATTTGCTAATCCTTCGGAGCCACTTGCACTGCTACGATATTCAACATGCATACACGGAGAATTATGTTTCTTTGTAACTTTGATAAATGTGGACAACTCTGACGGGCTCTCGTAAGACGACGGATTACAGGGGCTTGATGGTTTCTTTGCCACTGAATAGTTAGTACAGGGTTCGAATTCACTTTTACCACGATTTTTTTGTATTATATTATCATGGGTAGAAGTACATGTAGTGTTCGTAAATGGAGAAGAACCCCCTTTGCCAATTCCATCGGAGCAAGTATAATCTTGACTAGATTTGAACTCTGCTTGGGTATTAAGGTTTTCAATGCACTTTTCTCCATCTTCAAAAGGGCTTCCAATGTAAGAATGTGGTTCCTCAAAATGCTCTTCCATTTGCTCCTTAAACCTCACCTTCCTCGTCAAAACAAAGTCATCACCAGATTCGCTTTTCCTTTTTAAATTGGGAGACTTTTTGTCATCTTGTTTTGGACTTGAAACACTTTGATCTAAATGGCCTGGTTTATGTGTGGTAGTTGTGTTGCCTACATTTCCATTATTGTTTAAACCTCCCAAGTGCTGTGAATGAATCTCGATGTCTCTGCGTGTATCTTTGAGATCGCCAGATTCCATACATTTCTTGGTCAAAGGTTCATCATTATGCAAACACTCTTCAGTCAGAGTCTTGTTTAAAGCCACAGCTTCTGACTCACTATGATCCTCTTTTACACTTGCAATAGGTTTTTCTGTTTCCTCACAGATTACAACGTCTATTTTCTTACCTTGATGCAAATCCTCAGTTCCTTGAATTAAGTATTCTGCTGGTCTGTAAATGCTTTTCATAACTCGTGGGAATGGAGACTGAAGATACTTATAGGCAATGACATCATGGTTTGTATCAGTGGAACGAGTCAGCAAAATAAGGTCTCCTTCGTTCAGTTGAGTGGGAATTTCCTTCTGTAGTCTTGTTTTTTCATTGCTAGCTTCAGAGACAATCCACGTCCCATTTGAGCTGTGGTCTGTAATAAGGACTTTCACTTTTGGACAAACACTGCCAAAAAAATAAAACTATTCACATATTAATAAAAATTAGAAAGAGCATGAGGTTTGAAGTTGAACTGGAACCTTCCTAAAGTCTCAAGTAAATTATACTGACAGTTAGCTTTATTTAATGATTTGTCAATAATCTTCTCAGAAAACCACATGTTCTTCCCACCAACTTAGTCTGACAACCAGCCAGCATCATTTCATCAAAGGGTAATTAGTTTCAACTGGCTATGATTAAGGCCTGCCCTCAGTTCAGATGATTATTGGGCAATAAGATGACACTACAGAGATCTGATAGCACCACCTGAGGTACCCTCTTTGTTGAAAAGTAAAGTAGGCTTCACCTATTCATCACTAGGAGTAATATTGAACACAAAAATGTGATAGGTTGCAACAGCAGAATGATTACAATATATTCTTCCATTATTTTTTAACTCTTTTCAGGGACCAGTTAGGTAATATTAGAAAGATTAAGATTCACATTTACGTCAAACGGCAAACATGAATTTGTACTACGTGACCAAGTTTTTCCCCTATTTTTAGTTCACTGTTTAGTGCGTCTACACAAAAATAAGTAGTTTTATGCCAGTTTTATCGATAAGAATCATTCTGGACTGTTGTTATCTGCTTAATTTCTGTTCTGAAAAATTCTCAACTTGAATCTAACGTTTGCTGTTTGCCGTAAACACAAATCTTAATCTCTAAATATACATAGATCAACACTGTGAAATAAGCACCTTGAAATAACTAATGACCCTCAAAATTTGAAAGTGTTTCAGCTCTGCAAAGTCACAAATCTTTACAGATGCTTTTCAAACGTTTGTATGCTGGCACTCTTCTTAGCCCACCAAACAGAACATCTGTAAAATTTTGCAGATTTTAAAAACACAAATTCAAATTAGAACTATCTTGAATTAACGTGAGAAAACAGGTGACATGTCATAATGCCAACACTGGTTTCTCTGCACAAATGACATCTGAGGAATGAGCATAGAGATTCCATACTGATGACCCATCTCTTCCCTGATCTGCGTAGTGCTCCTCATTGGATGAAGCAAATCTTAGCCAATGAAAAGCACTAGGAAGTGACACATCTATAGTATGGAATTTCTGCATTTTTGTGGTGGCGTTGTGAAACGTCAGTTGTTTTCTCATGCTTATCTTGAATTTGTTTTACGAGACAAAAATTGAACCCTGGCACATGATAACTGCAATCAAATAACGTTATCTTACTTGGTGCCAATTGTAAACCAGAAGTAACACCAATTCTTGCTTAAAATATTTACTATATGCTGTTGAATTGTCGGCGATTATTAAGGCCGATAAAATAAAATCCTTTTTTACTTTACATAAACAAAACAAAACAAAACATTATTCCAGCACACACATACACACACACACACACACACACACAACAAGCTCAGTCTGGTTGCAGATTTTTAAACTACAGTGAACTTTGCTAACATGACTGTCGCTTACTGTTAAGTTACAAAGCGGAGATCGACCGATCTTGAATGGTCCAGTTACTCGCAGATCATATTGTTTATCTAGTTCACAAAGATTTTGGTTTGGCATCACAGAAAAAGAGAAAAACAGCCAGACAAGTAACCTAGTATAAAGAGAAAATCAATTGAATGAAACAGAGTTTTCTTTGTCAGCGGATTCACAAAAAATCATATTTTTCGTTATGTAAACTGCATAAATTACGGCGTTGACAAATGTTGTCATAGAAACCAAACGAAAATGGCCATTTTGAATATGGCTTTTGTGACTTTCTTATCGAGTTCATCTGTGACTTTATTATCAATCGAATTATGTGGATTATTATTGGTGCTGTGAAAAGTAATGTGGAATATCAGATAAGGTGAAATCGGCACAAGATTGGAATGGCTAAACTTTTAATATCGCGGTAATTTTGCTGATCGCGGGCGGGAAATCTCATCTCGCGGACGACAACGGAATCTGTAACTCGAAAGCACTTTTTAATATGGCTAGCAAACTTATGCAACTCATCGAAACACGGACGAAACGACCCGTGCTTGACGAATCAGACTTAAAAGTTAGCTCGCATTGGAAACTAATCAAATCCGCGATAAAACAAGAACACGGCGATGACCCGAAGAAACTCGATGAGAAACAGGCTTTGAATGTGGGACATGGTGTTCATCCGGTGCAATCTTTAGCGTCTGAAGAAGAAATCGCGTTTGTGGCTTTCAATTCTCTTAATAACAACTTTGTTGGAATTGACAGAGAGGGAAACGCTTCTGTATATTTGACAACTGGTTATACGGAAGCCGTCGACTCCAACATCCTCAAAGGTCCCATTTGCGGAATAGTGTATGCTAAGAAAACGAGATTCTATGCTGCCTGGGGACTTGATGAAAACATCAGAGTGAGTTATATAATGCTTTACTAGGGGGTCTTTATTTGAACTTTCAAAAGATGTACAATGGAGCCAAGCCTTACGGTACCTGTTCATATGACCATCATGTAACTAATGACCACATTCATTCAGCCAAGGTCGTCTCGATCCTTACGTTTAAGGCTCATTTTAATACAGCCACCTCATTACTAAAGATTCTCGGTCATGTTGAAACGCAGACCATGCAGACTGTGCAGACTGTGCAGACTGAGTGTTATTTTTTTTACTTGTACCTTGTAAACAACAATGACATCAGTATCTGTAAGATTTGTACCCTGCGAGCAGAGGCCCTTCGATCTTCCTAGATAAGTCGGGAAGACTTATCTAGGAAGATCGAAGGGCCTCTGCTCACAGGGTATAAGATCTGAAGAAATGACAGCAAGTCACCGGTTTGAATTACAGAGTGAAACCAAAGACGATCATCAACAATCAAGGAATTTAGGAAATGTCTCTCGTAGCCGTTGTAGGAAGCCGAAAAGGGTTTTATTTTAACTCACCTAACCTGAAAAAGCTTTTTCTACTAAAAAAAATTTAAATAATCGTGGCAATATAATACAGTTACAGAAAGAAACAGCTCACCTTCTTCCAACCATTGATGCTCGCTCCTGTGGGAAACTATAGTAAAAGTATTACTAGAAAATTAAGATACAAGTAAAAAAAATAACACTCAGTCTGCACAGTCTGCATGGTCTGCACTGAGTCTGCAGTCTGCAGTCTGCATGGTCTGGGTTTCAACATGACCGACAGATTTTGGTGGTCCTAGAGTGGTTGCAATAACCCGAGGTCACTCTTTATTGTTACCTCTGATAGGGGTTGCGTACTGCATGAGAATATCTAACAGATGGTAACCGACCTTAGCAAAACCATTGCTCAGGGTCATAATGTGCAGTCTGAGAGATGGCTGCATTTTAGTCCAAAAATTCCATACTGATGACATAACTCTGCCCAGAATCTGGTCAGAAGCTCTGATTAGTCGTCAAAGTTACATTCAAAATTAATCCCACTTTACAGACACCTGGTTAATATGGACACCTCACTATTATGGACAGTTTGCTTTGTTCCTTGAGAGGGAAAGCTTCCTAATTTTCTCTAAAATATTCAACCCTCTTAATACAACACTCTGTAAATACGGACACATTCTATGGCCCCCTCACTGTCTGTATTAACGGGGTATGATTGTATTATAATCTTTCAGCTGTTGTTTCCTTTTGACAGACTGAAGATGAAAGGTTGTGAAGATCAAATGTACAAGGCACTGAATCTACTAAGAAACATTCATTTTCTAGGAATATAATAGTTGCTCTGAAGAAGTAATTCAGTTTTGCCGTCATTAAATTTGCAGCAGAACAAGGAAAAATAGAAGCTTTAAAAAATCTGCATCTGGAACCACACAAACAAAGATTAATTACATAATTGCTTTACACTATCACTATGAAATTTTTGGGTAAAAACGAAGACATACCTCTCATGAAATGTCGTCAGTGACAAGGAGCAGTAAGAGGTGGTAGTATTTGCAGGGTAATCAGTGGGTAACAGAAGTGATTATGAATAAGGTGCATTGCATACTATACATGTAGTTTCAAAGAATGAAGGTCTTCAGCGAGAAACAACTGTCACATTTCGAGTGCATAAACTGCATCTTTTAACATCTGTATCCTAGTTAGTTTGTACATTCTTTGCTTGGAGTTTCACTGTTAATGTTTTTTCTACAATCTGTAGTTACTGTCAGATGGCTTTAAACTTGTCAGCATGGCAACCTCTCTTAGTAGAATATTCAGGTAGGTCCAAGCACTATAATATTCTTTTATTATTTTTATTATTATTATTATTTTTTTTTTTTTCAAGAGAAAAATAGATGAGCAGTTAAAGTTTTCAATATTTTTTATCAAGTTTAAAACACAAGGTGCAAATAATTTAGTGGTTCTAGAAACTGTTAATGGCTGGTGAAGAGGTATCTTTTAAATAATTGCATAATTGAGTAATGTGTTTACATGTTGATGTAAATGAAAGCTAATACATGTCTAAACAACTGAGTATGATAATTTTTACTGTATCTTTTATCAGTGGTGTGTATAATGAGACAACAAATGAGATCATAACTGGAGGAGTTGGAAATATCACCGTAAGTCCCTTTTCAAAATTTTACTGTTTCTCATTGGAACAGTTGTTGGCTTAATGTACCTGCATGATGTTAATTTATTTATAAGAATGCCAGACAACTCTTCAGTGTTACCTCATCCCGTTTTTTTTTCTTATTTGATACTTATTTATTTATGTATTTGTTTTGAACAGTGCTGGAGCTTTAGATATGGGGCAAAGTTTCTACTTCAGCGGAAAGTTTTGTCAGTGAGTGTTTTGATTGCAACATGTTTTTACCAATTACCTTTTTGGCTTCCTCTTCCTTAAGAAATTTATTCATGAGCTAATTTATCAAACCTTAAATAATAAATGTAAGCTAACTAGTATCTTACTAGCAAAATATAAAAGCTAAGAAAAACACAGCTCAATCAAATTGCCTTCTTCTAACTTATATTATTATCCTCATAATACAATAATGTGAACTTGTTTTCATTCCCTCCCTGCAACGTTAAGTGTTTTACAGTTAGATCATATAATTTCCAAAATCCCTTCTTTGGAGGCTCAGATACCAGCTGCTGTCTCAATTAGGAAAATGAACCTACTTTCCACCCCAAGAAAAGAACAAGTGAGACCGAACCCGAAAAAGTGACAGAAATCTAGCCTGCCATGCATGTAGAGTTACAGTTATTAAAGTGCAATATAGGTCCTGAACTTTGTTACTGACATTAAGTTAACAACAAAATGTTCAAATTCTTTACTTTGCTTATAATTTTCCAAGGAATGTTTGCCAGCAACCAGCATTATTTCAATCCTGTGTTTAGAAGACACACCCAGCAGATCTCAACGATGTTTTGCAGTTTATCACAATAATGTGATCGTTTACAACCTCCTGAATGGCTCCTGCGAGGGTCACCTTAAAGAGCTGCATCCCCGAGAAATAACCACTGCCCTGTTCTTCAATCCACTGAAGGTAATGAATTGTTTGTCACTTGCTTGCTAATGTATACCAGTAAGGTGCTATAAGAATACTTCAACATTTATTTGAAAAAGTGCAAGAAGTGCCATAGGTAGTCTGGAATGCCATCCGTCTCCACCCCCTAACCCATGGGGGCGTGTCCCGCATCCCCAAGAGGCTAGGGAGTGTAGATGGATGACATTTCAGACTATGCCCAGGTGCTAATTCCAGCATTTGCTAAACCCAAGAGTTTGTAAGTCAACAATTATTATTTTACGATTGCGGGTTGGATATGAGTTGGCTATAATCATCTCATATGAATCCAACAAGTGCGAGAAAAATAATTGTTTTATTAAAAATGCCCACAAAATATCAAGAATTCTTCCTGACTTTATTTGTAAAAACAATCGATTTTCAGCTTGTTTTTAATTTTGAGCAGATGCATACAGTTACCATTAATTTTTTGGAGAGCATAGTATAATGGCTCATAAACTATGATGGCTAAGCCAGTTAGAAATCCAGAATTGCATTATCCAATGATTCATTGTTTAACAATCACGCTTATTTACCTTCTCTTTTAGTACCTTGTAACCGGCGCAAAGGATGGGTCGATAAAAGTCTGGGACGACAAAGGGAACATCAAAATCATCTTTGTCGGACATTTAAAGTCAGTTAACACTCTAGCAGTTTACCCGTTTGGTACGTACATCATGTCAGGATCAAGCGACTGTACCATCAGAGTCTGGAGTTTGGATACTGCTGATGAAGTGGATCGCATAAGCACCAGGGAACCTGTCTTTGGATTGGGAACAATCGTAGGAAAAAATGACTTGTATTCGTTTGGAAGTAAATCGATTGAGTTGTGGAGAATTGAGCATATTCATAGCGTCTTTGCAGCCATTGGGTAAGTAGGTGACTGTCATTTTTTGTAGGAAGCAGGTATAAATAACATGACAAATACAAATAGTAAAGCACTTTTTTTTGTTTTTCATTTTTGAACTTAACTTGAACATGAATTTTTTACAGTCTCAGGCCTAAAATTAATTATGCAAATGCCACTGTCTTATGACTAACTTCCATTTCCTTTGTAGGAGCAAGGTAAAATCCATCAAAACTACGACACATCCAAGGGTAAGTGCATGAATAAAAGTATTTCTTCATGAAAAAACCTTTACTCCAGTTCTCTCCCACCCTCCCATCTCTGACAATTAATGGGCCTCCTCACGTATACACGTATTTGTAGTAAAGGTTTTAATCAACGATAAACCAGTTCCGGAGACTCTTAAACTAAGGTTGCGCAGATACGGGCCCCTGGTTTGTAGGAGACTCACTGCAAGCAAACTCTCAGGGTCCAAATAGGAGCGTACATGTAGCACTGTCGATATGGAATCGTGGCATGGTCGAAATGGGAATGTGACACGGTAGTTAGGGGAAGGTGGTACCCATTAGTTTTGAAACTCACTCTCACTCACTAACCTCTTCATCCCGGCTGGGGCGCAATCAAACAACGTCGCCACTTAACCCTATGCCGATGCTGAGCTTTGGCTTACACTTCGCCCCATGTGATACCCAGCGCTGGACTTTGTCAAAGCCCGTTTCCGGTTTATGCTACTGACATGTTGGGGAATCGCTCGCTTTCCCTCACTTTGCGAACGTCCTTCACTCCTTCGGCGCTCACGCAGTCAACTTGTGGCAAGTCTAAACCCAACTCCTCCAGCTCTTTCATCACTATTCTTCGCCAGGTGGTTTTTGGCTGACCTCTTTTCCTCTTCCCAGTCCATATCAAATGCAACTATGGGTATCCTGCCACCGGGCTTTTGAAAAAAAATTTGTTTTTGTGTCGGTTGAGTGAAAATCATTAAATAGAGAGGAGTAGTTGTTACGTCACGTTGCAATGGTAGAAGAACTTCGAGATCTCAACAAATCGTAGTCCTGCACAAATATGGTAGAAAAAAAAAACGAAAAAACTGACCTGTGCATGACTATGCTCAGAAGCAAATCGGTAGCCCATATATCGTTCGACAATGTAAATGGCCGTCTCTGTCAAGAAAGATTTTTGAGATGCAGAAATTTTGCTACCATGGTAACGTGCAGGACTGTCAGAAAGGTTCTAAGAAGCAGGCTGATAATGAATAGTAGGCGGCTTTGGAACTTGCACCACCAAAGTCACAAGTTCTTGAGGGCTGAGGCATCTAGGGACATTTTGAAAATTAGAGTCTCGGAAATGGCGTTTGCAGGGGTTTTCAAGAGGTATTTTCCACCGTGGACGCCATGTTGTTTCGCCATGTTGTTTCACTCAAGACTAGGAACGATGCCGTCGAAATGTCCCAGGCGTTCCACAACATCGCACGGTTCGAACGTTTCACAGATCTAAACTTGTTTAAAAACGAGTTAACTGTCATTCAAAACTGCGAAACGAATTCTTTACAATTTTGTTCGACTGTGCTCAATTTTTGTTAGCAGTCATAAATGTGGTGGTCGAAGGAGATGAAAGTAGCCGGCTAAGGATGGCTAACTAGCCGGCGGTTTTGGTCGGCTACCGGCCCTTACTGACGACTGTGAACATGACGTCACACTCTCCTCTCTATTGAATACAACAGTAGCTGTAATTAGTGGTAACAATGTTATATGTTTGTTGTTATCGTTAGATGCCATTGAGACTGGTGTGCACTTGCAGTGACGCAACAGTTCGCCTATTGTCCCCAGGCTCCGGGGAGTGCATCACGACCATGCTGTTACCCAGTATGAGTATAATTGCTGATGTGGCTTATGCTGCAGCTGAAAGTATGTTTCCAGTTATTATTTTTCAAAGGCATAATTATAACAAGATTGTTATTTTAAACTGTGTTTTGAAATAGGGCGAGTTTTCCCGCATGCACTCACAAATGCGTGCGAGCAAGAAATGATTGGTTTTTGCTGCACTCCCTCGTTGTTATAGAGTGATGCGACTTACTGTGTAATACTGTATAAACCAAAGTAATACTTTTGTGGTAGAAACTACTGATCTATTATTTAAATTGAAAGTCGTTTTGTACATCTCTTTCATGATCAATTCCTGTTAAGTGTTATCTTATGTTAAAAGGACATGCACTGTTGTCCTTTTATCCGCGACATTACATTACATTACGTTAGGTCACGTTACATCACGTTACATTACGTTCCATCACGTATCACTGAGAACATCATTTTTAGTTTTTGGTTCCATAATTGGCATAATGCGAGACTTGGTTTCTTACTGTGCCTTCTTAATTTTTTTTTGTAGATTTGCTGTTTACTTTGCTCTCAGATGGTAGAATCTTGAAGGCCTCAACGCTAACAAATCCATGTAAACTACTCCAGGAATGGGACATGAAAACCAACCCAGATGGTAAGAGTCGTTTATCTTTTACTAAAAGTCCAAGGTTTCTTTCTCTAGCAGAACCATTTTATACAAGATACAACTGTAACAATTGGCCATGCTTTTAGTAGTCGGGACAAGCTAGAGAGGCTCTCTCAGTTTAACCAGCGAAAGAAATTTTTGTTAGTCCTTCTTAAGTCGATAGAGGGTTTCATTCTGGTGGGAACATACCTTGTCAATATTCCATTTTCTACCCATTAGACTAAACGCGTGTAAATATTCGAGACGGAAGAAAAACGAAAAGTTTTGAAAAAAAAAAGTAAAAAAGAAAGACTGTCTTAGTCCTAATCGGTTATGCTCCCCTTTTTGTTCTTGATGTATTTGTGTTTTTTTTTTGTTGATCAAATTTTCGTTGCTGTAGACTTAAGCCTTGTTTACGCACTGTCCTATGACAACGCCTAAGCTCAGTTAATATAAGCAGAAAATGTCGCAGTAGCCTGCTAAACATTAATGTTTTTTTCCCTGTGGAAGCAAAACGCTAATGTTGCTTAAATGAACCAAATAATTAGCACTATTTACCCGCAATCAACTTTGGAGAAAGACCAATCTCTTTTGGAAAGAAAACTAAGTATGTTTTTATTTCGTGTTACAGTTCCAAGTCCGTGCAGCTGTCTTTGCCTTTATGAATATGTGGTTGAGGTAAGAAACTAAAGAAAAAGAGAGGTTTAGAATCACATGTACGTTAACTGCAAATGGGACAAACGTCAGTTTACAGCAACTGACCAAGATTTCCCTTTTTTGAGAAAGGTTTGAACCCAGGAGTCATTTCGCTTGTTGGATATGGGATGATTATAGCCAACTGAATAGGACTGTTGTTGTTGACAGTGACTGACGTTTCGACAACCTGTGCGGTAGTCATCTTCAGAGTCAAAGTGAGTTGTATTACGTCAGTTGATGGTATTAATCTCTGGTTATTGATCTGAATGGTCAATTAAGCCGCGATGTTATTGGCTATGAAGACTCGAAATGTCATTGGTGCGTTTCGATCCGTCCATTGTCGCAGTTTAACGGTCGTTTATTAGTCAAATTGTCAGTTGTCCAGTCATTCTCTCGTAGTTAGTTTTGCTTGAGTCCGTCAATAAGTCGTTTGTACGGTGCCAGTAACTGTTGACTGCGGATCAGTGGCGTTTTTGTTTTAAGTTAGTAAACCAGCTTTCTCAAAGCTGGTTTACTAACTTAAAACAAAAACGCCACTGATCCGTGGCACTGATCATCAGTGGCGTTTTTGTTTTAAGTTAGTAAACCAGCTTTCTCAAGTGAGTCGTTGATAGTAGTAGGATAATACATGTCACAGAGTACCAGTCGTTTTATGTTAATCATATCTACACCAAGCCCCTCCCCCTTCCCCTGGCAGTTTTTTAGTGCCATTTCTCATCGCTGGAACTCCCGACAAAAGCTCAATTTGTCGTTGAAATCTACCAAAATGCCTTGGCAGTGACGAACAGTAACAGCGCTATCCTGCAACAGAAGCCCCAAAAAGTGGTTGGTGGTGTCTTGAGTTAGAGCAATGTTCAATAAAACTTCCAACGCATTTTTTTAGGATGAACTTGAAGGGGATTCCTGGGGTGATTTAGTGACCATCCTCAAATCGAAGAAAAGAACCGAAGAGCTGGAGAGAAAAGGCCAAACAAACGCTTACGACCGAACTCTGTTGCTTGGTGGCTGTCTTGATGGAATGATAGTACTGTTTGAGTGGCAGAATGATAGTGCACCAGGCAAAGTCTCCTTTAAAGTAGAGGTAACGCGTAATATGCTCAACGAACATAAAGTAAAATACAACCCGAGCAGCGTGGCCGAGTGGTCAGTGCGTCGGACTCGCATTTCGGCTGTTCCTGGTTCAAGTCCCGCTCTGGCCACTTGCTGGATTTGTTCTCGGTCGTTTCGAATTCAAATCCTCGGCCACGCTTGTAAATAACCAACCGGCTGCCTTCTGCCAGTTGGGGTTTTTAATCCTGTTATGTTGCATTTGAATCATTTGTTTCTAAATATTTGAGTGGAGTGCCTATAAACTAGCTGGATAAGCTAAGTGCACTTTACACTATAAACAAGCCTTTTTTTAAACCTTTAAACAAACAAGCAAACAACAAAGAAAAGACAAAACATAACCCTTAGCCAAACAGATACCAGTTTTGGAAGTAGCGTGGTGTGAAATAGATAGCTGTACAATAGTAATTACGATAACCAAATGAAAGCCAACTATAAAGCCCTGAGAGGCGTTTTTCTTTTCTTGCTTTGGCCCTTCCCCTTATTCCGCCACGGTGAGCGCATGACACGAGGTCATAAAAAAATCTTTTACAAATTACTGTATTCTGTGATCCCAAGCTTCGATTTGGTGCCTTTCAGGAATACGGAAATGAACAACGGTCTATTTTCGATTTCGAGGCGATTTCATGGCGATTTTCCTGCGATGTTATTGTGAATTTCCACTTCGTATGCAGCAGTTTCTCGTATTTTTGCGGTTAAGAAATGGAACGAGCTACAATCGGCGACAAAATTGTTGAGACATTGTACTTAAATAGGGTAGTTTCGGAGAACAAAGGAATCCGCACCCCTCTCCTGTCCCCTCCATTCAAAGTTGGGGTGTTTGTTGTTTTCTATAGGCAGCTAGAACAAGGGCACAACATTGCACGGAGGGGATGGGGGAGGAAAGCTATATTTCCTCCTTTTGAAGTTAATAAAACCACTGGGGGCCCACACAATCTGTTTGTGTAGCCGATTGTTATTTTATAGTAAATGTACTGGATTTACCGTTTGCTTCACCTATAGCGATATATCGCTAACTATGTATATAAATCAATGATAAATAAACGTTGAATTACCTTACCTGTGGTTTATAGTCGCCCTTTTGCCTCAAAAGCGGTTTTTTGAGTGATTTTGAATGAATTTGAGTTCGTCGTTGACTGTTCCATGTAATAGAAGGACAAGGGAGGAATCCTTGTTTTGAAAGGGTTCCAGCGCCGGAGCGATTTTCCCCCCAAAATCGCATCGCTCCGCTTTCAAACTTCGCAGCATAAAGGTCAAAAGATTCGCGATTCTTCTCGTACCTTCCAATCGAAAATCCATCCAAACGGCCCGGAGCTAGCCCTCGAAGAAAATCAAAATCCCACAGTATTCGAGCGACTGGAATGCGTAGCAAGATTCATACGTGCCAGCCAGAAAACCGTCCCGCTGATTGCCTCTTTTTGATTGGATGTCGTTAAACAACAAACGCTAACCAAGTCTTCTTCATCAGTTATTATTTAACCATTTGTTTAACGACATCCAATAAAAAAAAAAAGGCAATCAGCGGGACGGTTTCTGGCTGGCACGTATGAATCTTGCTACGCATTCCAGTCGCACGAATACTGTGTGTAAAAAAGCCCAGTTTTGGGCGAAGTGTCTCAACTCATTTTGTCGCCGATTGTAGCAAATGATATTAGAATTAAAGGAGGCACCATGAAGTGAAGAGTAAAATTCGATTGCTTAAGTTTGACTGAAATCGGGATTTATAGTAACTGCTGCCTGTTGCTTTTGTTGTTCTAATCGATTCTTAGCTTTCACAGTTTTCATATGATGAATTATTGTATATTTTTAGTTTTTAGTTTTTAATTTTTAGAACATAATTTTTTTAGTTTTTAATTTTTAGTTTACATTAGGGAAATCGCAATGAAATCATCGTTAATTTCTTAGATTTCGAGATCAATGTTCTCTCTCTCGTACACTGCCTTAGCCTGAGAAAACAGCCGACATTTAGCCACGCTACCACTGGTTTCCCCGCCAAATGACGTCTGAGAAACGAGCGCAGAAATTCCATACTGATGACGCGTCACTACCCCGATCTGGGTAGTGCTTCTAATTGGTTGTGCCAAATGGGAAATTGGATTCAATCAATCAGAAACACTACCCAGATCTGGGTAGTGAGGGGTCATCAGTATGGAATTTCTGCGCTCGTGTCTAGACGTCATTTGGCGGGGAAATCAGTGGTAGCGTCGCCAAATGTCGGCCGTTTTCTCAGTCTACTAGATCCGGAACTTGATCTAAGTTTACCTGTAGGTTTACTAAGAAGCCAAAGGCGTTTAAACAGATACAAGGACACTGGGTCCTGTACTAGCGGGCCCCAAAATTGTACCAATCCTGCACCAAATTAAAGAACCCAGCCCAGCTAAGCCAACTCAAGCCCAAGAAGGGTTAAATAATGTATTTATATTCGGCGGAGCTAAACGTAGTGGCAGTGACAGAGAATGTAAATACTTTCCTATTGGTATGACTGACGTGAGCCGCTCCACAGTTCGAGCTGCACACCCATTCCCGTCTCTTAGTCGTGAATATAAAGAGGAATGATCAGTGCCTAAACTTGTGGTTCATGTAATCTTTGTTATCTCAAATGATGAATATTTGAGTTTCACTGATTTAAGGGAACCGTAGAGTGAAGCGTAGAGTAAATGCAAAGAATATCATCGCAGTTAATAATTATCTCAGTCGTTAACACAGCTTGTTGTTATCTTTAGGCTCACAGAGATGAAGTGATTACTATGGTCGCTAATCCAGCTGTAGACCAAGTCATATCAGCTGGCCTAGGTGAGTCGAGGGTTTTATTCAAAATTACATGTGTTCGCTGGGCCGATATAGCTTTCTAACTTATAGGTTTCTTATTTGCTTGTATCTGCCAATATAAGAGAGACAATATTGTAAGCCACAAGGGGATTTGTACGGCTGGGAGAAGGGGAGGGGTCAGGTCTGTAACTAGTAGAGAGCAAAATTTGCCTCAGTCTCTTAAAAGCTCCCAATAAAGTAATTCCTTTTTTTTCTATTGGAAAACTCTTTTGGTATCTTCGGTGAACTCTAATTTCTTTCTTTTTTTTTAATGCTTGTTAGTAACCTTTCTTGTGAAAATGAGTTTTATTTGCATTAGAATAAAAAAATCATTTTCATATCAATAACGTCGCACTGAGCCTCGCTTTGAAACAGATGCTTGGGGCAATTGGGAAATGGCGGGAAAGATGCAGTGCATCCTGCGTCCTGATTGGCTACCCGAGCGGGCAAGATGGGCCTATCTTGCCCGCTCGGGATTTCCCACGTTGGTCCCGCAACATTGACCACGCTTGTTCGGTCAAGATGGCAAGACATTTACCTCAATCTTTTTTTGCGATTTTATAGACCTCGACTTCGTCTCGGTCCATAAAAGCGCGAAAAGAGAACTTGGTCAAATCCAGCCATCCTGACCTCACCCTTGCTGAATAACGCATACATACTGAAAAGAATAGGGCGGATATTACCTAGTCCCTGGGTCTCATTATTCCGCGCGGACAATGCATTTCGGGTCAGTACGTGCACCGAAATGCATTCACCGAGAAGGCCTGAGAAAACGCCGTGCAGGGACTAGGCATGGGCGGATAGGTAAAGAACGCTCTTGCGCGTGCACCACATATATACTGTATGCGCGCGCCCTGCCCGTTTGTTTGCGTCATCCACTTAATCCTTTGCCAGCTCCATCGCCAGTTTTACCATGGTTTTACTGAAGTTTGGCGCACTATAGTCTGCACAGAAAAGTCGCATCTATTTCGTGAAGTCGGGGACAGTCTGTGATGCTATCTCATAATTTTGTTCATAAAAGTTTTATGCATCATTTCTGTTTTCAAGTTTCTAGGGTTTACCACGCCAAAGCGTAGTTCTCGTGATGCAAAGACTTTTCTTTTAGCAAAAACTAAGGGATGTTTTTTTGTTGCAGATCATGCGATCAAGATTTGGCGCCTTTTCCCGTTTGCTGAGGAGGCCCTGGCACCTCTGATGACGTTGTACTGCCATGAAACCCCTCGACGTCTGACCGTAGCGCACCACAAACTTTGCGCAGCATTCCACGAACCTGCTACTGCTTCGTATAATATCGTAGTGTTCAAAACTACTCAGAAGAGTAAGTGCTTTATACAAATACATATCATAACATTTCTAGGCACCTCAATCGCGGTCAAACATTTGCGTCATTTCTCTATTTACTCAGCGGCAATTTAACAACAGCGAAGCAAAACACTTTGGACGTCTGGCCGCAAATGATGATGATGATGATGATATTGAATAGCAAACAAACAAACAGTCAAACAAAAAAGCAAAAGTTAAACAAACTAAACAAAAATGATCAAAGTAAGAGAGTTACAAAGTAAAAGACAATGATCATTTTTAAAAAATTTATAGCCTTTAATTCCTTTCTGCAAATTTTAAGAATCATTACAATTTACAAGTAACTTTTAGTGTAAACGGATCTCATTCTCATTCCTAAACACGTTTGTAAATCAAAAGAGCAACGTGGTTTTCTTTCACCAAATTAACATGCTGCATGTGTCAATTTCCCTTCAGAGCGGTTTGATCATGATAGTGATTTGGACCATATGGATGACGTCACGGGACTTGCCAGCTGCCCCAAGATGAGGCTGTTTGCGTCATGCAGCGCTGACGGCTCCGTGAGGATCTGGGATGAGTCCAACAAACTTCTGCGCGTTATAAAGTTGAATGCCACTCCCAACAGCATCAGCTTTTGCAGTCAGAAGGGAGATCTTATAGTGGGCATTGGCAAACATCTACATAAGATTAACTATGCCACTTGTAAGTACAGTCGAACCTCCATGTGCGACCACCTCTCGTAAGCGACCACCCTTCAACTGCACGTGCATCACGCTTTTTTGCACATTTCTTAGCTGTCGTTGCACGACTGCGACATGAAACTTTCTAATTTCACACGCCTGCTTTATGGAGTAGGTGAACACAACACAAAAATTTTCTCTTTCTTTTTCTAAACTTAGGTATGGTCCTTTCGGATTCAACCCCAGAAAATGTCGCCAACATTTGACAAATTAAATGAAATTGAATAAGATCGATGAAGCTTGAAACAGTCCGAATTCACATTTTAAATGACGTTTTCGGTTTGTTGTCATCCAGAAATTTTTGCTACCATGGTAACATGACGTAACAACCTCTCCTCTCTGTAAGCCCCGATACCTAAACCTCCATCACGGTAGCAATTTTCTTTGTTCTCTTTTTAAAATTCGACTTACGTTTGCCTTCACTCCCTTCCTTGTAGACATTCCCCAATCATATATTTACCGAATGGTAGCGATGGATTTCCGACGGGTCGCCTCCGAGGGACCAATCGAGATCGACTCGGACATCAAAGCTGGTCTAACATCCGAGGAATGTCAGCGTCTGAACCGAGTCAAGTCGTCCTTGCACAAATACAGCCGCTTTAAAGACAGGCTACCACAGGATGAAATGGACGAAAAAATTCAGGAGGAAGAAAGGAGAAGCCAGGTTAGGCACCACACGTCTTTGCTAACGGTACAACCTGCTGCGTAAAAAAAAAAGATAAATAATGAATACGTAACTATCCCCTTCCCTTATGGGACTTTTCAGGGATAATGAAATAATAATCAATAATCTTTTATTATGCTTTGTCATAATATTAATATTACACTCTAGGAAAGTAAATTACAGTACAAGATATATTAAATGTAACGAGAATAATGTGCAAGCTTGGAAGCTAAATGAACCAGTTGGTTTTCTTGTCAGCTCCCTGAACAAAAACGAAAAACAAAACAAAGTAGGAAGAACTTCTATTTACATGAACTATGTCGCTTCATCAACGTTGAATCTAATTTAATCAGTTGGTTAGATAGTTCTTCCAATTTTGCATTTACACGAGCAAGCTCCTGTAAGTGCAAAAGATTTTTTAACCTACTCGAAAGCGATACTTACAGCCATCGTGAGCAATTTTAGCATCGATGGTGGGACGGCTTGTAAACGTGGTCGTCCACCAAAACGACATATGCTAATCCAATCTCAAATAAACAAATGAAACAAATAAATTTGAATGGAAAATACAAGGTTAAGAATCCCAACTGGTAACAGGCGAACCAGTTGGCTATTTACAATCGTGGCCAGGGATTTGAACTCGGGACTACCAAGAACAAATCCAGCTAGCTGTCAGGGCGGGACGTTGGACTCGGGGCGTCCGGATTACAAGTCCGGCGCTTGAACCGCTCATCCACACTGCCCGGAAAACAAACAAATAGACAAACAAAACACGGCACACAGACTAAGGCTTTCCCGGCCAATTGACAATTAGAAACCTCATCAACTGAATCACGCCCCTTTATGGGTGTTGCGGAAGCTATCGTTGGTTCACTGTAGGGAATTTAAGCAGAAAAGTATTTGAATGACGAACATTTACCGGAGGTGAGCCTTTTTCTCTATTAATCTGCCTTGACACTACCAAATTTATTTTGCTAAGTGTATTTACTCTTAAAGAGACGATTTGTCCAAGAATTTGTTCAAAATCACGGCCGAAGAGTGCAAAAAATCCACTTCCGGTAGACGTACGTCGCTCGAAAACGCCGCTGTTGTGGTGTGGGTATTGTTCAGTCTCTTTTCAATTTTTTTGTATCACGTGATGTGGTGATTGCAGCCATCCGCGACGCCGAGAAGCCACCCACTTTAAAGCAATGTGATTCAGGATGGACGTCTTCACTAAACGGAACTCATCTGATTGTTATCATCTTTTTCCTCTCTAGGCGTTTTCCAAAATCCAAGAACGCGAGAGCGAATTGCGTAAACTTCGTGATGGAACCTACGAATTTAGCCGGAAACGACAAAACATCGACCTAGACACAGTCCGCGGAGAAGCGTTCGACAGATACTTGGAAATCTTCTACAAACGACCTTGTATCGATCTTCCAGACGACGAATTAGAGGACGAAAATGGTTATGAAGAGGAAGAAGAGCCATACGCTCCCGACAGAGGAAACGGATTTTTTTCAATAAGCAGACAGTCGACAAGATCCAAGAAAGGAGAGGCTTCTTCCTCTGAAAAATCTGCTCCGAAAGCGCCGATCATGAGTCTGTCCATGTCTGAGTTCGAGCCCATACAATTAAAAGACGATGTCAGAGACTCACCTGTGTTGCCCACAAGCAAAGAGCAGGATGAATTGTCAAGGTAAGCCAATTGGTTTGTTGTTTCAGTTATCAGCAGTATTTTCAGCCATGGAAACGAAGCGAAAGGGCTTTTTACAATAACTGAGTGATTTCTCACGCGCTTATTAGTCGAACTCTCGGCAAAAGTGACGTTAACGAAACGATTCGCAACCACGATTGTTAGCCCAACACAGCGTTGCAACATAGTTGTGACATTGTTTCGAATGGTTACAACATTTTTCCAACATTGAAAAGCTGTGTTGCGCTAAAAATCGAGGTTGCGAATCGTCTCGTGTAAGAGTGCAGACCATGGAAATGGCATGATGGTGGCTCAATTTTTTTGTCTTTGTCACGCGCGCGATTTTCCGAGAAACGTCAATGGAAATGGACTTTAAAAGCTGTCACTGTTATTGTAAAAACAAATCTACAACAATTTTCCGAGGGTCGAAGAGATTACAGACCACTGAAAATTGTTGTCGATTTGGTTAATTCATCATTTATACCGTTTGTATGCTCTTTTAAATAAAAGAATGTCTGACTTCAGAATCAATTGTAACACCAGCTATGGAATATTGAATGTGGTGAATCGCTCCGAAAGTGGTTACTCTGTCCAATCACAGGCGATCAGGTCAGACCAGTTAAAACAATGAGAACTAGAAGAAAGTACGCGTAGCCAGCGTAAAAGGCGGGAAAACTCAAAGAACGAGTCCCGACCGGTTTTATGATTACTTCTGATTGGTTGACAAAAAGGCGCGAGATTTCTTAACCAATAAAAGAGAACCGAAATGCAAAACCAAAGCAATCACTTAGTCTTTCAGTAAAGTACCAACACTGACCAGCTTCAAATTTCTCTTAACAGTTTTACTTATGTGGTGTGACAAATTAGGTAATACGATTATGGGGAATTATGGGAGTCTGAGAACGACAGCCATTTATACAATGATGCGAATGCTACGCTGTGATTGGTCACTGCCCATGATCTATAAGAGTACAGATACATGGATGACGTCAGGGGAAACTTGTTTTCTTTGTTTCGTTCAACATGGTGCGTGGCTTTGAAAATGTTTGTGAGATTATTTCGCATTAAGCAAGTGAAAGCCTAGAAAAAAGGTTTAGCGGGAGCTACTCAAATAGTGATTCAAATGTGGTAAAAACATCAGTGACACACTTGCCGGCTTCTTTGTTCTTGCCACATTTTGCGCGTCATCTGTGATCTATTACTGAACAGACGCACGGTAACATGGAATCTATTTGTTAAATACACTTGTAAATTACATTTGTAAAAGTTTTATTAAATTGACCCCAGCTCCATTCAACCACTTTAGAAACGAGAAGGAAACTGGGCCGAGTTATAACGTTTGCGAAGACTCAAGTACCCTGGCAGTGAAAGAGTTAAGCTCCCTAATGGATCAAACGCTGATGAGATGCGTGAGCAAACAATCTAGGCACATACAAAATACTTCAATCCTGAATATAAGTAACTTTGGAAGGGTAAATTACTAACGGCGACTTATGGCTCATTCTTCACAGATCTGAACGCCCTTTTACCTTAGACACAGAGAGTGAGATTTTTTCTCACGAGGAAACAAGTTCCAGGATATCCCACTCGGCGCCTTCTCACAGACAGGACTTCCGAAGTCATCCGATAGAACCACCGCTGGTGAATCGGGACCGCGATCGATACGTGGTCGACGTGCCGAAGTCTGATCGGTACCCGTCGCCGAGTCAATCTCGCCAGCTTGTATCGCAAAGACTCTCGCGACTGGCCTCTTCGGCTGATGACGGAGACGAGGACACGTTCGTAATTGCGCCCGATGGTTTTATTCCGAACTCTGTGGTTGTCGCCATGTTTAAGGATTTACGGGAAGAGGGCACGGAAGAAACAGACACCTGGAAACCACCTCAGCTCACAGCAGAACAATTAGCTGAACTGGAAAGCAGAAAGAAGGTAAATACAAGAGAGAAATTTTCACTGTTTGTAGACGAACCCATTAGCTAGTTCCGCGATTGCAACGGCCACCGAAAGTTAGAAGCATTAGTATGAAAAAAACAACTTTTGCCATCCAGCCACGCTTGCATGGTCTTCCGTACAAATCCTTGTAAATTTCGAAATTTTCAAACTGTCATGAAATATTTCCTCAAGCAATACGGGGCTCAAATCTCCTTTTAATTCATAACAGGCAATTTGAGCCCTTAAATGCGTAAGGGAAAAATGTAACGACAGTTTTAAAATTTTAGAGTTAAAGATTTAATGTGTCATGAACGAAAATACCGTAAAATTCCGAAAATAAGCCCCGGGGCTTATATTTTTTAAAGGCCCTTTTTGAGGGGCTTATTTTTGGAGGGGCTTATATTCGGAGGGGCTTATCTACGGAGGGAAATTTGCGTTTCAAAATCGATTGGGCTAGCCTTATAGTTGGAAGCAAATTTACCATTTTTGCTTCGTTTTACTTTGTATGTGAGGGCAATTTTCCAAGTACAAGCCCCTGGGGGGCTTATATTTGGAGGGGCGATTTAACGGAGGGTTTTTTGCGTTACCGGTTTGGGGGGCTTATTTTTGGAGGGGCTTATACACGGAGGGGCTTATTTTCGGAATTTTACGGTATTTGCTTGTTTGCTTGAATTTTTTTTCTCTTTTTCTTATGTATAGAAACTTCCAAAATCTCCAGAGAGTCCAAAAGAAAAGCGGAGCAGGACAAAATCGAAGTTCGCTGATCAACTTCAGCTTGCTTTACGAGATATTCCATCACCAGAACCGTTGGATGATAGCGAACTGCTGAGGTCTCCCACTCCAACACCGCCCCCGTCCCCTACCCCCGCAAAAGAACCATCTCCCCCGAGGACCCCATCCCCTAAAAAGGAAATCAAACCACTTAAGCCGATTGAGAAATTAGTGACGCGCCCAAAGCCTCCAACACCACAACCGTAAGTACAACTGTAATAGGAGTAACCTTTTGATTTAATGGGAAACGTCAACAATGTAGACTGTTCACAGTCCCCTATTTTTCCGTGAGATCGTCGAGATCGAGCACTTTATGCTGCGGGCAGCCATCTTGGATAAGTGTCAAAACTTCTTAGGGAGTAGGGGTCAGTTTGGCAGGAAGCGTTTTAAGCCCCGATGCCCGCCCCCTAAGTACATATGAAACCAGGATAGCCGTCCGTAACGGTGAGCGCTCGATCCTAACGATGTTACGAAAAAGTAGGGGACTGTGAACAGTCTATCAACAATGTAAAGGTTAAAATTTTAATCTGCAAGGTAACGAAATGCCAAATAAAAGATAACCGTAATAAGTTACTGTCAAACAACTTTCATACGATTGCATGGTCACAGCATAGGATTTTATTCACAGGCCCAAACACTTGATCGATCTAGTACCCCATAACGAGCAATCCAGCTTTAGATCTTTTGTTTGAACAATCACAGTACTCGATTTTCCGTAAGAGAAACTTCTAGTCAAGTGGAAAGTTAGAGCTTTGTCAGGGCTCGAAAAAGCTTGAATTCCAGCCTTTTCCTTTTGGCAAGCTGCTGTCATATTTTGCTTTCCCTGGGCCATTTCTCGCTTATCTTAGTTGATGATTTAGTAAGAAGATGGTTTGCTTGGACCTTTGTCCAGGAAATGAATCTGCCTGTCCCCGACTACCGGCCGGGACTTTTTTCAAGCCCTATTTGCATGTACAGTCGAACCGCCATGTTCGACCACCTCTCGTAAGCTACCGCCAATCCAAAACACCAACATTTCACCAATCAAAGCCTCACAGTTGAAACCTCTAGTTATCGACCACACCGTGTAAGCGACCGCGACCACTTTTTGGGCCTGTTAGTGACAACATGGAACTACACATGTCGTAATAAATTAAGGAAATTAACGCTCCATGAAATTAACGAGAATCGTTAAAATCGCGTTAATTTCCTTTATTATGAAATTCTACCTCCTCTTTCGCGTTAATGTGCTTTATTCGAAAGTCGTTTTCCATTAAATTCACGTTAATTTAAGTCGCGTTAATTTCCAATACCTTAATTTCACGAAGCGTTAATTTCCTATAATAAAGTATCTTCCATAAACTAGATGTGCCCGAACCTCTTCTCGGAAGAGGCCCCCCGTGTGGTTCGATTCTTGTAAACGACCACCTCCTGTAAGCGACCATTCAGTCTTTGCATTTTGGGTGGTCGCGTACGGGAGGTTTGACATGTAGTTTGTTGCAGCTGTTTGTAAGTTCTCTAAACTATGCGTAATCCAGTTTTAAAGTTATATGTCTACTTAAGTTAAAGAAAGAAAAACGCTGTTAGTAATTTAAATGTTGAAAACTAAACGAAGGAAGTCTCATTAAATTCAAGCAAACATATTGAAGATTTTAGTTCATGACGCATTCGATCTTAAACCTGTTGTTTAATAAAACTGTACCCTCTTATTTGAAGAGTTAAAATTAATGTCTAAACCTTAAACTGTAATTTTTGTTAAAGACCACAGCTGTCCAGCGTAAATGTAAAACAAAGTGGTTGGTTTTCATCTCCCATTTATTCAAACAACTCGGAACTTGACATACAAAGCCACCATCGTCATGTTTTGCTTCTCCAAGAGGAGAATTTGGATGCTAGGCCACAGTCGCCCTCGTCGTTGGCCATTAAGTTAATCTCTGTTGAAAATGAAGTCGTCAATCCAGATGAACTTACGCTTAAGAAAAGGTAAACTGAATATTAAGCCGGACCAATTTAAGAAGGTCTCAATGGGGTTTACCGTCAACCGTCAAAAAAAGTAATTTTTTTTACCGTTAACCGTCAAAAATGCAGATTATTATTTGCCGTGTAAAAGTTTCAAGGTAATTCAAAATTAAACTCACTATTTCAGCTAATCTTCACAGAATCTCTTACCTTGAGAAACCAGTTCCCGTGTTCGTAGAAACACTCTCTCTAGCCATTTTAAAACCTTACAACTTGCTTAAATCTGAAAATATTTCGAAATTTTATAAGCGAAAGGCTAAGACAAAGCCGAAACACAACAGTAATATTTGTTTATACAGTAGTTAATATTTACCTTAACTTAATAACCGTCAACCGTCAAAGCAGCGACCCCATTGAGAACCTCAATTCAATCTAGTGACAAGTAAATCTTGCCTTATTTGTTTTAATCACGCTGGCATCGTCAGCTACTTAAAATGACACACACTGAAGAACTTAAATTCATACTGATAGCTTAGGTAAAGCTTCAGCAATTCTAATTTCGATAAAATAACAACAATAATCCGCCGTGTGCCAGTGTTTTAGCTAACGTTATGTTTTAAATAAGACATTTTCACCCTCGAGGCACCGAAAAATATTGTAAATAAGTGTCTCTACAGTAATTTTCTAGTAGAGAGAAAGTTTGTCCAGTGCAATAACTTTTTCCAAGTTCAACCGGTGCCTTAGCAATGACTAACTGTCGATTTTTTCGTTCAATTTTTTCAGGACACCCCCTCCTCCCAAGGAACCAACTCCAACCCCTCCACCTCCCCCTCCCACTCCATTACCCTCCTTCATAACTCAGTTCAAAGGAACTCTGTGGTTTGAAAACTTTTTTTCTGATGGCAACTCTGATGTAAGTATTTTGCTTTATTTGGCGACGAGTTTAACTTGCACTGTTTGCTTAGAGTGCTCGGAAATACGTAGCCTCACTGTATTTATCGTTATTTGACGAAGAGTTTAACTTGAACTGTTTGCTAAGAATGTTCGGAAGTGCGTAACCCAATGTACTGTCGATGTTAGAAGGGAGTCTCAACTTTAAAGTTGTTTAAATACAACCTTTCCTAGTCCCGTACGCAGCCGGTTTTTTTGGTCGTCAAGCAACGCTCCTTTTGTGATCCTGTCTTGGGGAGGAGCGTTGCGTGACGACACACAAAATGGCTAAGTAGGAGACTAACCTTTCCAGGTTGTAACTTAGATTTGTTCAGCATGATTTCAGGTTGGCTTTTATCTAAACTAAGAACTAGAAAGCATTAATAAAAAATAGCATTATCAGAAAGAATAGCACTTGACACTTTCAAGTACTGATAAACCTGTGGCCGTCTTTGCAGATCAAATTGGGATTTGATATGTTGGTCGACCTCCCACATGTTTTTCACTAGCAGTTTTTCTTGAATTTTATTAGTCTACTTACGGAAATCGGCAGTGGCCGTTTTCACACTAGAGACGGATTATCCGCCCGAGATGGGTTATCTGTTCGATAATTCGCGTCAGACAGATTATACGTCTTCATTTGAAAATGGAACGGTTCTAATTTTAGATGAACAATCCACCTGTCTTTATCCATCTGCTTATCCGTCAATTTTGACGGACTTTGCACATGGATGATCCGTCTCTAGTGTGAGAAAGGTCAGTCATAACATTAAGTAGACCAGTGGTGCCTGTTTCAGTGGTCTCGAGACGTGGCTGAAATTTTAACAGCTTTGACTTTTCATTTCCAGTCTTTTTCGAAGCCGTGGACAGTAGACAGCTTTGTGGAACTATTACTGAGTCTGATTCAGAAGACACCTGACCACGAAATGAAGACACAGATCTGTGCTGTATGTATTATATACGAAAATATTTGTCAAACTCATTTGTAATTCATGAGGAGAAAACAAAGGAAATCTCTGTCGTTATAAAAAAAACTATAGACAGTGGATGCTGGTTACCATAAAATTTTGTTAATAGTAGCTTTGACGTTCTTTTAGAATCATTAATCATTTGATGAACTAAATCTAACACTCAACGAGTGTTTCATCCGCCATTCGCTATTTGCACATCTACCATAATACACCTTGATGTCCCCCAAAATTTTGCACAAACATTGTCTTCGATTTCTCTTGGGGCGACAGCAATACCCAGGAGAAATTGGAAACAATGGTTATTCATTTTTTGGTGGGCAAACAAGGTGTATTATGTATGAGATCAGTCTGTCGAATTTGTATGCGGATATTCGGGCTAAAGAGTTTATCAAGCCACTTCTTGGTGTATGAATATGAGACGAAATTTGATAGTAATAAGTCTTCTTCCTTCTCCTTCTCAAGTAGCCTAACGCCGTTTCAAGCTTCTAAGTTCGGTTGGAATCGAGAACTTTAGATTCTAAGACACTGACGACTACAGGTAGGAGATTTCCTCAATACTGCGTATTGCACACGCGTGAACCAGCGTCATTTTGGCGGGAAAACGTGATAGCCGTCGTCGTTCTACTACGGGTTTTAGCGAGAATGTCGTAGTGGCGGAAACAAGTTATCAAATGTAAGAAGTTTTAACATTTTACTATCGGGAGAGGGCTTAACCTCCTTCAGTATAAATAACCGTGCTAACTTTTTTGGTGAGAAAAAAGTAAAATGAAGCTTTCCGGGGTGTTTTTTTTAAGGAACACGCGCCAAAACTTTAAGTTATATCTCATACTCGTACTCGTTCTCGTCCTCAAATCTAAAGCTCTCTAATGTTTCGTAGGCTATCATGCTATTACATCGCCAAGAAGGACTTAGTCGCCAAACGTGTGAGAAAGTCAACCGCACCATGATGGCTGAATTGAATATCCCGGATCCACCTAATGCGCATGGCTCGGCCCAGGCTAAGCAGTACTTACGCGCTGCTCTGCAGCTGTCACACACAATGAGGGTATATGAAGTGTCTTTTGTGGCCGAACTGATGGCTCAGTTTATCGATGGAGATGAGGAGATCAGGTAGGTTTTAAAATGACAAATGATATCCGAATTCTGATTGGCTTTTCAGGGATTGCCTGTTTTTGTTTAGAAAAGTAGATCTATTATCGTGGGAATTTTGGCTGGCGTTACGTAGTTAGCACGCTTTAGCATCAGTCACCATTTTCACCAAGACCGTAATGCACCTTGTTTACCCTCCCCCCCACCCCCAAAAAAAAAAACAATGCCTAATCATTGTCTTCGATTTCTCTTGGGACGGCTGTAATACCCAGGAGAATTGGAAAATAATGATTATGTAAAATTTTGGGGGTAAACAAGGTGCATTACGGTCTCGGTGAAAATGGCTAAATAGACAGGGCTGCCGTGGAGGTCAAAAGTGTCTTTCCAGTGATATTAGTAAAACTAGAGACCCCCTCCCTGCCACCCCTAAACAAAGTTGAATTTTGAGCAAAATGGGTAGAAAAGATTGCTTTTTTGGCCAAAACATTGCCGGGGGTGGGGGGGGGGGGGGCACCAGGGGGGCCCCCAAACCCCAAAAAAAAATTGTAATAGGGAGGAGAGCCCTTTGTAAAAATTCTTTGCAAGGTCTTTTTCAAAAAGGGGGACTTTCTAAAACGCAAAACCGGGGGCGCCGAAGACGAGAGACGCGCGAATCGGATACTAGCCGTTAGAAAGTCCCAAGTTCTTTTGTACTCCTTTTCAGGTTCGAGTAACAGCCGCTTTTCAGGAAAGTGAGCCTGCGTTTCGCGGGGAGGAGCAAAGTCCAGAGTCGCGAGAGCGGTGGAAATCGAGCCTAACAAAGGACTTCTCTAATTCTTTGCCTGGCTGCTTGAATCCAATCAAATGATTATGTGATATCATAAAAATACCCAGGGGAATTGGAAAAAAAGGATTATGAAAAATTTTGGGGGTAAAAAAGGGGGAATCCGGTCTGGGTGAAAAGGGGTAAAAAAAAAGGGCGGCAGGGGAGGTAAAAAGTGTTTTTCCAGGTTAATTTTTAAAACTAGAAACCCCCTCCCGACCCCCCCTAAACAATGGGGAATTTTGGGAAAAATGGGTAAAAAAAATTTTTTTTTTGGCCAAAAAATTGCCGGGGGGGGGGGGGGGGGGGGACGACAGGATGACCCCAAAGCCGATCAAAAAATTGTCATTAGGAGCAGAGCCCTATGTAACAATTACTTGGAATGGCTTTTTCACACAAGTGGACTTGCTACAAGTCGACAACGTGAGCGCCGAAGTCGAGAGACGAGCGAATCGGAAACGAGCCTTGAGAAAGTCCCAAGTTCTTTTGTCCTCCTTTGTAGGTTCGATTACCAGCCGCTTTTCAGGAAAGTGAGCCTGCGTTTCGCGGGGAGGAGCAAAGTCCAGAGTCGCGAGAGCGGTGGAAATCGAGCCTAACAAAGGACTTCTCTAATTCTTTTCCTGGCTGCTTGAATCCAATCAAATGATGATGTGATATCATAATTGGTTGTTAATCTTTCTCAAGTTTCATTGTTTATCTGTATCTTTACTGTACACAGAGCTGATACCTCTGTCCTGCGCTGTAGGCAACCTCCAGCTTGTACAGTATTAGGCAGACTTTATTAGAGAATGTTCGCTTTACTCGTTGTAGTTTTACGCAGCAGTGAAACTTCCTTCGGGGAATGAATGGTTATGGTTTGGCGATGTTTCGGGGAAACCTGAGACTTTTCATTCACTTTTTGCATATTTCTCGCTTTGCAGAAATTTTGTACGGGAGTTGTTAGCCTCGATCGGAGTCCCAGATACAGCAAGTTACTTTGCAAAAGAATTGGATTTATTCGATACCACGGTACGTTTATTTTTTGTGGTTGTAGGTTTTGCATGCGTATTATGCTCATGAATGTACCCTGAGCACACTCATGTTTTGCTCCCTGTCCAGCGGTTTGTTGCTTCGGCGCATGCGCAGGCGATGTACCTATATTGTGTTTGCGTTGTACTCGAAGCTTTGTTTTTCCTTGTTTCGGTAAAAAAAAACTGGATGACCAAGAAATGTGCTACCCATACGAATCTATTTATTAATTGAATGCGATTTTCGCTAAGATATTGTAGGATCTGGAGGCAACACCAAACACATTTAAACCATTCAAGTTGTCACAAGTTACCTAGGGCCATGTGGCCCGATTACATTTGGACCACATATCCTCTTCAAATGAACTTCGGAAGTCAGTTTACAGTTTGCTCCCTTTTACAAATTTTAGGGTATTCCTGAAAACAGAAGAAAGGCGCGTGTAAAAGACATGTGTGTTCAGTGGCTTAACAAATGGCTTGCTCAGTTTAGGGAACATATCCGTTCCTTGGCAGGAAAGATCAGCCGCGCACAGGCTGGAAGTGTCGTCAAGTAAGACTGATTCTTTTGAGTGTTATTATTATGCGAACGCTACAGATCATTGTACGTTACCAAGCTAGTTCACGGGCACGTCCACCTACATTGCACTGGTGACAAGAACTGACAAACTCGTTCTTCAATTCGCATATCTTCATAACATGTACAATTGTTTTTCTCGTAAGTTAACCTCTTATGCCCTAAGAATGATCAGCATCAAATTTCTCCTTTCTATATTTAAGCTTTGTAAAACAGAGTAGTCACGAAAATTAAAGGCTTTCTCTCCATTATGTCTGAGGAATGGACAGGGGTAACAAATGAGGATTTATCTTTTGATTCCTTTCTTTTTGTACTCCTGTTATACAGAGGAACCAAGACTCCAAGGACGCCTAGTTCAATCAAGGGTATCTTAAAAACTGATAGAGGAGGCCCGGAGGTGGGTTTTTCAATCAAGTTTAAAACTCATTCAATTGGCGAATTAACTTCTACGAATCTCTCTCCTTTTTTCTCTTTGATCTCTGGTTTCATGTCTGAAATTTTGTTTGTTTTTGTATTAACAGAGGACAGCATCAGTGACGTCCAAACCGTCAAGCAGTAAGTCTTATTTTTCTTTCCTTTGTCATTGTAGTTGCTTCGTTTCATTACATCTCCAGAGAGGCAGCGTGGCTGAGTGGTCAGCGAGTCGGACTCGCAATCCGGAGGCCCTAGGTTTCAGTCCCCCTTGGACTGCTGGCTACAATTCCGCTTATAATTTGTTGAAACACTTCCGGAAAGCACAAGATAATCTGAGTGGCTTCACGAATACATGTTTCGCTTCCTTCAATGTTGGTTTTATTGGTTTGCTTGGGCATAAACGTCTGCAAAATCAACATTAAAGGGGAAGGGGCGCAGAAATCGGCAAACGTTTCAATAATTGTAACTGGGAATGTAGAATTGTTTCTGGGTCGTCCCGAGTTCAACTCTGCGACCACACTTGTAAATAACTAGCTGCTTTGCCTTCTTATCAGTTGGGGTTTTTAATCATGTCGTGCTTTGATTTTTCATGACTCTCAGATTGCAGTACAATAAAAGGCGGCGAGTAAGGGCCTGTTTACATGGAGGTGGGGGACCCCAGGTTGGTGAGGTAACCCGCTTTGGTGGGTAACCCGCCTGTCCACATAATCTCTCATTTTGATTTGTTCACGTTTACATGATAGGTGGGGTGACCAGCCGCATGTTACCTCACCTATCTGGGGTCCCCCACCTCCATGTAAACAGGCCCTAAGAACCATAATTTTCCCAAGTTAGGCTAGACAGGTTCTTGCATAAATGGTAATTAGTACAAACCTAGGCTATTTATAGGTTCTTCATTTACATTGCATTTGGCGTGATAAGGCTCTTTATGCTCCAAAGAGGATCCTAAATGTTGACTTATCAAATTTGCCCAAGTCTAGAGAATTTTTTTATGGAATTCAGAAAGTAAGTAACTGTTTTGAATTAAGGCTAAACAGGTTCTTTATAGAGGGGGCCTAACTAGCAAATTTTAGCCTAACAGTTTCTTAAAAACCAGGTTTTTACTAGCGGGGTTTTACTTTATTCTTTACGTGGAGTACCTGGACACTAGCAAGAGAAGCTATATGCATCTCCGGTTTTAAAAAAAAATAGATTTCATTCGATTACCAACTCACCCGTTCCACCTGTCCCTTTTAGTCTCATTTGATGTCGAGGCTCTGGGAGGCAAAGCCGCTGACACAGGAACGCCAGCAGAAGCGATTAACTACTTCTGTGAGATCAGAATGGAGGAGGAACTGGAACGAGCACGCTTGCGGACTCGAGAAAAGACTCCCGTTCAGGTTCAGGACAATTCCAGAAACACGGTTCTCGTTCTTCCAAAGATACACAGGTAGGTGTCCTTCTTTCGGCGATAAGCGATTAATTAGCCGCTTTTTGGATAGCCGTGATCACGGCGATGCATTGAGGCTTCCTTCAGACTCCTTTTCAAGAGCATAGGATTCTAGTTGAGCTCCTGGTAATCAGAGATAAAAAAAATTGCTTATTACAATCAAAATTGTAATCGTAAATTTTTGTTCCCCTGTTAAACGGTTAAGGAAAGGATCACTTCTGCTTTAGGAACTTAATAAGGTGTCGCGAAAGTTACAGAAGAATTGAAAGGTAATTAATTCTTTTTTGAGTTTGGTGACAATATGGCTTCTGGGCTTCTTTTGCCTGAACAAACTGATAAATTCCACTGAAAGCGTTTTTTTTTTTGTTTGATTTTTCTTTTATTTTCAAAACAATCTCATGGTTTAAGTTTTGCTGGGTATGACGGACTTAAACGTCTATAAGTTGTGATTCAATTTTATTCTTGGTTTAAATATTATTTCCCTTTTTCTGAGGACGGATGGTATGGTAACGTACGATAATGAGTTTAAAACAAAGGGAAATAAAATTTAAACCAAGGATAAAAATGAACCACAACAAACATACCCTTTTGCTTTTTCAGTAAGCGTAGCCTAGCTCGTTTGGGAGAAACACACTGCAGCCACTGCCACCCAGAAAGAGAAACATCTCTTGCGCTAGGTAAGTCTGAGTAAGGCCTGATTTGAGATTTCTCTGCCAATAAATTGAAAATTTGCTTACGGATACCTTTCTTTTACGGACACTGGTTCTCTTGGTCCCAAGAATAGAGACCTTTAGATTCGAGGACAAAGACGAGTTTTAACGCTTTTTTTTTTTTTTTCCGCGTAATGTCCAGGAATAGAAACCGCGCTGAAAGCTTCACTGTACTTTCTTCTTTAACAGAGAAGTTAGCACGGTGACTGTTTTTGAAGGTGGTTAAGCCCTCTTCCGTTCGCAAAATGATACTACAACATTCTCGCTAAAACCCGAAGTAGAATGACGACGGTTATCGCGTTTTCCCACCAAAATGACGCTGGTTCACTCGCGCACTACTTAGTTTTGAGAAAATCTCGTACTTGTAGTCTTCCTCGTCTTAGATTCTGAAAGTCTCTTATACCCATATATCCTTACCTCTGCAATACATGCACCTCTATAATGCGGACGCTTTGACTGACAGTTGCGGAGTCCAAATTAACCAAGTTTTTTTCTCTCACATCGTGTTTATGCCATCTGGTTCTACAAATTCGAAATGATTCGACCAAAATGGGCCATCCGCTGCCCCTGCCTCCCTACACTATAGTGAGCAAGGGTGGCGCAGTGGTGAGAGCGCTCGCCTCCCACCAATGTGGCCCGGGTTCAAATCCCGGCGTCGACGCCATATGTGGGTTGAGTTTGTTGTTGGTTCTCTCCCTTGCTCCGAGAGGTTTTTCTCCGGGTATTCCGGTTTTCCCCTCTCCTCAAAAACCAACATTTCCAAATTCCAATTCGACCAGGAATCAGGTAGACGAAGAACCACTATGTGGATGTGCTACCTGCAAATCGTTATTTATTTATTTATTTTATTATTTTATTATTTATTTTATAGAGAATACTTCATGGAAAGTGCGCGCGTACGGTATTTACGCACGAGTTGTTGACGTATCAGAAATCGAACGAGTGAGCGCAGCGAACGAGTGAGATTTCTGATACAAAAACAACGAGTGCGTAAATACCGTACAAAGCACTTTCCATGTGGTATTGTGTTTATTATATATATACTGAGATTTTAATTCTTGTTTATCGTCTTTAATGACAGACCAAGACAAAACTCTGTTACATGAATTCAAGTTAAAAACTCATGCAAGGATTATAACATAAACTTGAATTTCTGCCAGAAATTTAACCTTACAGCAAGCAAATAATGTTAAAATATTATTTCTAAACTTTAATCCGAGTCGGACTCCTCAATTCGGATTCTCTTCCACCTTTTTTCGGTGTTTTCGGTGACGGAACTCCTGGTTTGAATGGTCGGCGAGGTAGTAAGCGCATTAATGGAAATCGTAAATTGTCCTCCACTTATTACTGCTCCATCAAAAAAACTCATCGGGGTTTTACTAGTGCAAGTGCTCGCAGCAGCAGTTTCATTAGTTGCAGTAGTTACTTGTGTTTGCGACGATGCTCGGCTTAAGATGCCTGATATGTTTTTTTGTTGATTTAGGTTCAAGCTACTATAGTTTGTTATGCTTTGCACGTTCTTGTGCCCACTTAACTGCATTATATGCGTTGGCGGAATTTCACTGTCATTAAGTTTTTGAATCATGTGTTTACGAGCACTATGGTTCGTGAGTCGCTCGTTGTTGATGTTTGCTTTTGAAGCCATTGTTTTCATCAAAGTGTTTAATTTATTTACACCCATAGGTGCCGACTTGAACCAGTGTTTTTTGGAGCCGTCTGTTTTCGTGTGGTTTATTCCCAAGTAGAATGGCGAATCGTCAGCCATCATGTTTTCCGGTCGCTTTTCACGGTAAATTTTGTACGCCACGACAGGATCTCGTTCATCACCAGTTGAAAACATTTTCGGGGAAACTTTTCGAACGTTTGAGGCGTCTACTCCAGACCTTGTTTTTGTCTGTCTTTCATTGTAAACTAGATAGTCGTTACCTTGTGCGTCCTTACAAAGCTTTACATCTCCCCAGCACAAATCCCTATGCTCTTGACAACCACGCATTCCAAAATGAATGGTGTTGTTCAGCCAAACAGTATTCAACAATGATTCAGCAGAACAAACTCCAAGCAAATTGTTTTCGTGAAGTATATCGACTTCTTCGTCCGTGATAGCCACAGCGGCTTTGTCCTTGTTGCCTCGGCCTGCTTTCTTCAGCTCTTTTTGTTTAGCCTGTAAACACTTTCTAAACAATTCAAATTCTTTATCGTTAATGATACTCTTAGTATAATTATTTTTCTTCAAATGTCTTTCAATACTTGAAACAAGGCATCTTAAACTTGAAGGCTCATAATCCTCTCCGTCTTTACGTCTCACAGAACGAATAAACTCCGCAAGGTGCTTGTTTAATTCTGCGGGCTCTATGTCTTGCACTTCTCGCTCGTCGTTCTTTTCGTTTCTCAAAAACGTTTCCAGCAATTTCACATCTCGTTTCGTTTTCTCTTTCGTATTCCTGTTTTCGAGACTTTCCACGTAATCCTCGACTGAAGTATCGTGATCAACAAACCTTTTCTCGTTCATGTTTTTAAGCTTCAACACTTGCGAAAGATTTCTTTAACAAAGTGAAATGCTGCCAGCTGAATGAAAATCACCTTGTTACGGCTCACACGTCAAAAAACATGATACGCAGCACCTGATTGGACGTATCGTTTTCCTCACACGTGGAAAAAGCAATACGCGCCATTTGATTGGCTGTCGGGTTCTTAGACCAGCTTGTGAACCAAATTTATTTCGCGCCTTTTCAATGGGTAAATCTCAGTACATATATAATAAATTTATTTATTTTATTTACGAGATGCATCTTGAAGGAGCTGTGTCACGAAATTTTTCAAAATTCAAACAGTGGAAACTGCCACCAAATTGAGTGAAACAAAAATATCTGCTCAAAATGTTGAAAGAATGTATGGATAACACAATAAATACAAAAGGAGGAACGGACAGACAAAAACGGGTTGTAATCGTGCTTTTTGTGAACTTGTTAGCCTAGCAGGTTCTCAAAGTTCATTTTTGTTGTTTGCAACGTTTCAAATAATGTTTGGGAGGTATATTTGTTTTACACAAAGCTGTAATATTTTCATTCTTAAGATATTATATTTCTAAATTTTCGTAGCGAATAAGGCAAATAATAGGCATTACAAACAAAATGAAATTGCCAGCCGTGACACAAACCCTTGAAGTTTCTTACCTTATCTACTCAGATTTTGAAACCAAATTTACCTTTGTCGCACCTAACTTGTCAAACAGCTGGCAGCAGAAGAAAGGTTTTGCGAAGGCCACAAAAAAATTTCTGCGAAACAGCGCCAAAATCCTTGATCTTCTCCTCCACCTGTGTACTTAGGATTTGAGTACGCAAGCCATGATTCACCTTTTTAAAAAAAACCATTGTCAATTTGCCAGTCAGATCGAAGGGAAATTCGAGACGAGGGCTCGGTCTCCAAATTTTTTTTTCGGCTCTTCTTTTGATCTAAAAATAAGGGAGGCCCCGGGCCACAGGGCCCCCTGGCCCCTCCCTTGGATCCGCCACTGAGCGATATTAGATTACGTCTGCGACGCAGGCTAGAGAAGAACGGTTTCGATAGCAACTGAAGCGCATAATACTTACCTGCAAAGCCTCATGTTTTCGTTCTTTATTTCAGCTTTTCCGCTGCCTACAATTTACCAAACGCGTCGCAGCGTGGTGTTAAACAACATGGTGCTTCATCTAAAAACCCTAACCCTGAATCCATTTCCCGACGAAGCCGATGAAGCAATTTACGAACCAGCCAAACATTCTCAACTGCTGACTCTCCGTTCCTCGCAGAAGTATTTCTTTCCGAGCCAGTCATATGTTGAGACAGCTTCTGAAACTGAAAGCCTCTCTGAACAGATTAGAAAGGTTCTGCTGTAGCCGGGCAAGAAAGCAAAGATTCTGCCTATAAAATGGCCACTGTGAAGTTGTCCAGAGACGTTTTACGTCGTTCTGTTAAATGAGAGCAAAACCTTAAGGGCGTCGCTCACTGGCCTTCAATTGAATGGTCACACGACGTTCAGGGACGGATTAAACCACATTAGAAGATTTTTGTTTGTATAACTCTAGAATCTCTGCATAGAGACAAGTGAGGTTATTAACAGCAAGAGCAAAGAGCCCTTTGGCGTGCGACGGACAGTATATTTTGCAGTCTTGTCAGTGACCCAAACTTATCTGCTCTAGATAAAAGAAATTAAATTTATCTATGGTTTACCCTAAATATTTAACAGTATGTTTTGCAGACTTGTCAGTGACCCAAACTTGTCTGCTGTGGACGAAAGGAAAATTGTCTATCGTTTCCCCTCAATATTCAATTTTGCAAAAGGATGTTTTTTATTTATAAATATGAATAGAATGTACACAAATAATGAATAGAATGTACACAAAGTTACTAAAAAACACATTATTATTTGGAAATGTATTTGGCAACTTTTAAACTTCTCAACTGCCGAAAAGAAAATTTAAATAGAAATTATTTTATGAAAAATAAATATACCCAGCGTGGGAAAATTTTCGTTGTTTTTTGTTTTGTTTCGTTTTTTTTTTTATATATTATAAATAGACCAAGACAGAATAAGTGGCGATATTTTGGATGTCTTGAAAATACCACTAACGCCGTTGGGTTTTTTTTCCTTAAGAGGTTAAGCTATGATTCTGGGTCAAGAATTGTAATTTGTATGGTAAGACTGAATCAAGTTATTATGGTTTTTGTTGATAATACAGTGGAACCTCGATCTAACGAAGGGCCAAGGGACTGACAATATATGTTCGCTATAACAAGGTTTTGTTATATTGAGGTCCTTTTTCATATATTTTACCAGTACTGGGGCAAAGAAAATTGTTCGTTATATCGAGGTTCCACTGTAGCTGATTTAGAGCACTGCAAAACCTATCCATCTGATTTCGAGCACCCTGGGTTTCTGGTACTACTCATACACCTGATTTTGATATAAAAAACTCTTTTCGATCTATATGAAATTGTAAATTTGGCGACCTTCCTAAATCAATGTTTTTTAGTCTGGAAAACACTAGTTCTCTGTCAGGAACGTCATCAAACACTTCTTCTCCGCCCATTTTGCCCAAAACGAATGGGAGAAAAAATTTCAAATCTTTGCCCAAAACTTTGAACTAACCCCTTTGAAAAATGCAAATTTTGCGAGTTTCTTAATAAAGGCTAATGTTTTTATAGTTAAGAAAGGCTACCTCTCTATCTATAGCACGTCACCAAACACTTTTAAGCAAAACAGAAAAGAGGGAAAATTTTCCAATTTTTGATGAAAATCTTGAATGTTTTTGTAGTGTAGAAAAGCTATTTTTCTATCAAGAATATGGCCAAACACTTTTTTCTGAAATTTTGCCAAAAAAACTCAAGGTAAAGAAATTTCAAAGGTTTGACCAAATAAAAACCATGGACTAATCATGGACTTTTGGGACTGCAAACTTTGCAACTTTTAATATCAATGCTTTTGTAGTCTAGAAAAGCTACTTTTCTATCAGAAATGTCCCCAAACACTTTTTTTGAACAATTTAATCGAAAAAAGTCAAGGTGTGCTGTAGAAAAGCTAACTTTCTATCAAGAACGTCGCCAAACACGTTTCTGATCACTTTGGCCGAAAAAAGTCGAGTTGAACAAATTCAAAATTTTTGACCAAACCATAGACTTAAAGCCCTTTGGAAAAATGCAAATTAGGCAAATCTCTAACGTAAATGATTTTCTGAGGTAAAAAAGTTATTTTTCTACGAGAATGTCGACGATCCCTTTTTTTGATCGATTTGGCCTAAAAAAATTCGAGGTTAGGAAATTTAAAATTCAAATTTTTGATCAAAACCTTTGGAAAAATGCACATTTTGTAACTTTCTAATATCAATGCTTTTGTACTCTAGAAAAGCCATCTTTCTATCAAGAATGTCGTCAAACACTCTTTTTGATCAATTTGGCCTAAAAGAGTCAAGCTGAAGAAATTTCAAATTTTTGACCAAACCATGGACTAACCCCTTTGGGAAAATGCAGATTTTGCAACTTTCTAATATAAATGCTTTTGTACTCTAAAAAAGCTATTTTGCCATCAGATTGTAGGCGATCACTTTTTTTTTGTCAATTTGGCTGAGAAAAGTCAAGGTGAAAAACTTTCAAATTTTTGAGCAAACCCACAGACTGAACCCTTTGGAAAAATGCAAATTTTGGAAATCTCTAACGTCAAAAAACAGTCTAAGAAAGTTGTTTTTCTATCAGAATATCGACGATCATTTTTTTGATCAACTTGACCCAAAAAAGTCTAGATAAAGAAATTTCAAATTTTTTACCAAAATCATGGACTAGCCCCTTTTGGGAAAATGCAAATTTTGCATCCTTATATCAATGATTTTGTTGTCGAGAAAAGTTAGTTTTAAACCAAGGATGTCGCCAAACCGTTTTTTTATTTTTTATCAATTTTCCGGAAAAAAGTCAAGGCTAAGAAATTTTTGACCAAAACCACAGACTCACCGCTTTTTATTTTTCTATTAAGAATGTCGACGATTATTTTTTTGATCAATTTTAACCAAGAAAGACAAGGTGAAGAAATTTCAAATTTTTGATCAAAACCATCGGCTATCCCCTTTGGGAAAATGCAAGTTTTCTCAAATTTCCAAATTTCTAACATCAATGATTTTGCAGTGTAAATATCTTATTTTTCTTTCAAAATGTAGACCATTATTTTTTTGATCAATTTGACCCAAAAAAGTCAAGATGAAGAAATTTCAAATTTTTGACGAAAACCATGGACTAACCCCTTTGGGAAAGTACAAATTTTGCAATCTTATATCAATGATTTTGTAGTCTAAAAAAGTTAGGTTTCATCTAAGAATGTGGCCAAACACTTTTTTTGATCAATTTGCCGAAAAAAAAACAAGGTGAAGAAATTTCAAATTTTTGACAAAAAGTATGGACTAACCCCTTAACTTTTTAATATCAATCATTTATCAGTGTAGAAAAGCTTTTTTTCGAGCAAGAATTACGCCAACACTTTTTAAAATCAGTTTTGCCGAGAAAAGGCAACGTGGAGAAATTTTGAATCTTTGACCAAAACCATGGACTATCCCCTTTGGAAAATGTTTTTTTTTCAATGTTTTTGTAGTCTAGAAAAGCTATTTTTCTATAAAGAATGTTTTCAAACACTTTTTTCATCAATTTGGCCAAAAAGTCAACATTAGGAAATTTCCAATTTTTGACTAAAACACTGGACTAACCCCTCTAGAAAAGTGCAAGTTTTGCAACTTTCTAATATTACTGTTTTTAAAAGAAAAGCTATTTTTGTGGCACGAATGTGGACAAACACTTCTTTTCATCAATTTGGTCGAAAAACGTCAAGGTGAAGAAATGTTAAATTTTTGTCCAAAACCATGGACTAACCCTTTGCGCAAAAGCAATTTTGCCAGTATGTGATGTCGATGTTTTTGTACTGTAGAAAAGCTATTTTTGCATCAGGAATGTCTCCAAAGACTTTGGTTTGATTAAACTGGCTAAAAAAAAACAATTTTTGACAAAAAGTATGAACTAAAATATTGAAAAAATGCAAATTTTTCGACTTAGTTAGATCGATGTTTTATAGGTTAGAAAGAGCAGTTTCTAATGTAGAACGCCACCTTTTCTCTGTTTTTATTTGCCTTGAAAGAAAGAGAAACGAATTTGCAAATTGTTTACCAAAATTATGGAGTAAACCCTTTGGGAAAATGGAAATTTCGCGAGTGTCTTAAATCGATGTTTTTAGAGTCTAGAAAGGCTAGTTTTCTATCTAGAACGTGACAAAACACTTTTTCTTCCCTATTTTGGCCAAAAAAGACAGAAAGCACAAGCTTTCTTCGGGGGGTTAGAATGTCACATCTGTGGTTTGTGATTGGATGATTTCTATCCATGTTGTTTATTTCGTTTCATTGTAGTAATGACTGACAGCTAACATTCTCAGAATGTAGTGTCGTTTTCCTGTTATCCCATTGAATGTCAACTTTGTTTAAGTAGCCCTGGCTACAGTAATCGCTTTGTAACAATGCCACCAAGACCATTTATAAAAAATTCCATTTTAGATAGTGCCATCTTAGATTGCTTCCAAAGAAGTTAGGCTTTGATTTTGGGTAAAACCTAAAATTTCTTCTGTGTTTGTTCAAAGTTGCAGTGAACCAGGAAATGATGTTTGGCGATGTTTTAGAATGGTAAAAAGTGCCATTTTCTCTTTCCTCGCTTCTATCATCCGCGAAAAGTTCTTCACTTGATAATAATGAGATTCGAATGAAAATCAGGTGTAAAATTTACCCACTATACTACTTTGAACAGTTTATTTACGCATGGAGATCTCCTTCGCAGACTATCATCTACGAAAAGTACTTCATTAGACAGTGATGGGATCCGCTTAAAAATCAGGCCTAAAATGTACTTACTACACTACTAGAAACAGTTTATTCATACATACCATTATTTTATTCATGCATACCATTATGTACATTTTCTCAAAATAACATCTACAAAGTGGCATGAAATCTGTACTTTTTCGGTTTTGTAGATTAAAATTGTCGCAAATAATTCAATTAAGAGTCGAAAGGTTTTCGCGGCTTTGCACCACTTTTAAAACAATCAGAATTCCAAAAATTCAGAAACCACTAGTGACTTACCCTCAAGATTTTTCTAGCACCTAGTGTATTTATGTTTATTATCCTTTGATCTTGATTGGTTTCTAGTTTTCTCACGACACCCAACTAAAAACTGTACTGATTTACTCCGCCATGTCAAAGGCAGTTTACAACTTATGAGCCTACCTCCTGAAAGGGACCAAAGTTATGGTTTTCTTATTCCGGTAATGACAAAGTTATCCACGTGGCGATGATGATTCAGGAAGATTATAAATTAACTTTCGTACAAAATATAAAAAAAACGGTTCATTTGATGCTACGTTTTGCCTTCGGCGGGTATGTTTGGTTATCTTGAGATTCAAGTCAATACACCATTTTACAGTTGTGGGCTTAGTATTCTAACCTTTGACTGAAAGCGAGGGCTGAGGTTGACCTTGTTTTGATAAATACCTCTTTCCTTTTCTTATGGAAATTATGCTATAAATGCTAGTTACCATGAGAACAATATGAGTGACATAGTAAAGCACGAAGGGTTGTATCAAAATAAGGTCAAGCCCAGCCTCGTTCTCACCTGTAAAGCAACGTGCAAACGGACGGAACAACTCCCATTGTTGGTCCAACGATGTTGGGAGTTATTGCGTCCGTTTGCACGAAGGTAAACGTTACACCGGTTTCAAATGGGTTACTCTATGACTAATAGCCCACGTTCAATCCTTGAAAATTCTAATATGACTCCGAGGCTTTCTAGTCATTTTTCTATATTTGGTTTGGTTTTCTTGGTGCTCAAGTCTCTTCTGGGAACTGCGAGACAATGAAGTCGTGAAAACTTTGCAATATTGTCCCTAACGCCTCGGAGTCATGTTAGAATTTTAATACATCAAACGTGGGCTATTTTATAACTGCTCCAAATGCTTATAATATGCGTGACCTGGTCCCAGGAAAGGATAACGCTAGAGACTCCGATAATTTATACACTGATTGTATTTAGAAAGGTCGTCCACAGCAAGTCCAAAATAAACTGAAACTAATAGCGTGATCACTAAATGAACAGACAAGGCATCTGGTTATACGATATTACAAGAATTCAAAAACTTGGGTTTCAAAACTTGTAAGTAAGATTTTGTGTCACTATTTCTGCTATTTTTTCTGGCTACTTTGTTTCGTAAAAGAGTTTTTTCTTCTGCGTAGTCAAATTCCACTCTGCAATGTCCACTTGTTGATGATCTTGTAGATCTTATGCTCGTTTTACGTGATCCAGGTCTCGGAACCTGAAAAAGAAACAAAAACAAAAACATTACAAATCCAGTTTTTTGTCTGAATATGACTGACTTTGTCATTGGGGCTGGTTAGAAACGAATTCAGGTCGCAAATGTTTACCAGGTTTTATCGCGCTTGTAGCTATTGTAAGATTTAGAACCACGTTTTCGGCAAAGGTAAACTAAAAATTGAATCGCAAAGTAAGCACTCAACCGTCTTAATAATCCGGATCTTGAGACAGTAAAGTTTCGAACATAGGGACATGTAATTATGTTATGTTTAGAAAAAAATTGAATATTGATCTAAATATTAATTCATCAAACGCCCGTTTTTGGAGATGACCCAATCAAACGTTTATAATAATTTATAGAATAGAAATGACCTATGCCTATAAAATTTAAAATAAATATGGAAAATTTAAATGTGTTATATTTAGACCGGTCAGACCTGTCTTTAAAAATGTCAGTAATATTTACTTACGGCTCTGGTGAAGGGCAGTTTAAAGACCAGCGGCCAGAATCGGTGTCTCCGAACTGAAGTGAACATAACATGTTACAATATGACAGAGTTTTATCCGAAAAGGTTTATTACGACTGTTTATAAGCTTAGATTATAGACAAAAAACTAATATTTTTTTTAAGGTCGACTATATAACAGGGCTCGAAATTAACGCTCGCAAACTCGAAAAAATGCGAGTGATTTTGATGATCTGCGAGTAAGAAAAATATCCACTAGCAAACGATTGCTAGTTAGAATTATCAATGTCTCCCAAACAAAGGGAAATAATTTGCTTGTGGTCTCACCAGTTTGCTAGTGGAAAAAATCTTACTAGCAAAACTTTGCAAGTGCACTAAAAAGATAACTTCGAGCCCTGTATAATAGCTTTAAATTCGTTTGGTCTAGAAATTTTAAAATTCATAGTCAGCGTCATTTAAATGGAATCATACTCATGTTAAAAAAGATGACAAAAATAGATGATGTTAATGCCCCTTTTTTAATTAAGTTACAATAATACTACAAAGAGTATTGGTGACGTTATAACCCCTGCTATGAGAATTCCGTTTAAACGAAGACCCCGGAATAACTCCCTCGTACACAGGCAGAGAAAGCTTGGGAACGAATTTTCGAAGCGCACAAGGCACCTTGGGGAGAGTGAAGAAGGGGACGCGCTGACTCATTTTTGACCTGATCCTTCCCATGGCCCCTTGCGTTAACCTTCCCATATTGCATGAGGTGTCTAGGTGCGTCGCAGCCAGTATCACAGAACAGAGTCAGACTCGCCAGAAACTGCTGTAGTTCACGACATGAACTGCTACCGCTTTGGATAAGAAAGAAATTTAATGAGCGTAGACACGAGATAGAGCGCCAACGAATCGTTTGAAACGTACTGCCTAAGTCGAAGTAGTGTCTTTTTCATTTTATGCCATTCTCATATTTCAGAGGTCGAGACTGTTCACTATAAAGTTTCTTTTATGTCACTTTTGACAACGTAACTTAATGACAACCAGGGGAACAAGTTAACTACCTAAAGGTATATAGCTAATAATCTGAGTTTAAAAGCTGCTCATAGACGTTTGTGTATTAGAAAGGAAAAACATTTGTTGAACTGATCTATCATTTAACAAAAAAAAATAAGATTTACATATCAGCAGCAAAAATTAAAAACTCAGGTCGTTATGCTTGATTAACTTGCCTTAATCGATGAACACGTTAGTTTTGTTCTGAATTATTAAAACCGGCCAATAAAAAACAAAGTAACAAGCACGATCATGATACAAAACTGGATATAAATAGAGGTTAACATTGTATAAGAGTTATAAACAGTTTTTTGCACTATTCAGTTTAATTTTTTCTTGTGTTCTTCTAGTCATTCCTGTACCAAGCCTGACTACCATTCACTTTATACAAAAAGCATTCTGCTTCACTTTTTGAAGCAATTATTTGTTGTACACCGTCAAAATTGTATATATCTCTTTTAAATTTGTTTGCTTCTATACTTAACCGTTTGCATGGCCATGTTCTCGCCCGTAATCTTCACATCTGAAAATACAGAGAAAAAGGGGCAAAAATGTAACCAGATTGCACTTTGACAATGTATTGAAACTCGTTTTGGAATCTACTTTAGATAATGCTAAATAATAATAGGGCGTTCAATTCGCCACTTCAGAAACGAGAGGGGGACTGGGTCGAGTTAACTTTCGCAAAGACGTCTGGGACTGTTACTTGCGGCAGGAGAAAAAATTGGCCAATAGCTGAATGGCGCGTCACCGGTAAAGATATCAGAAACAATTGTGAGACTCATTTCGGTTGCAGTTCCCTTGTAGTTTCCTGAGTGGCGAGTGGACTGTTCACTGTTTTGGCACTGTTACGTTTGTGTACATAGAAATGAAGAAAAATCGGGCGGAGATTCAAAATCATGAAAGAGTTAATACAGTACTTTTCTGATAACTGTGTTCTATTTCCTGTCTTCGTAGTGAGAAATTAAGACATGAGACTAAGTCACGCGAATTGATCAACCAACAGAAACAAACTTACCAGAAACACTACGGATTGTCTTAGTAACAATGATTTCGTCATCACCAGTCAAATGAGTTTCATGGGAATCCATTCGTCTTTTTTCCTGTAATCGAGAAAACCCAGAGAAGCAAATAAACACCAAAAGAAAGAGGTAAAAGTTGTATAAGCCTTCGGGGCATGCGCAGTTGAAAAGGGGAAGACCGGGAAAGGGGAAATAAAAGAGGAGAAATAAAGACGCGCGAGAACGCCCGTGAGAAGAAAGAGAAGGGGAACGCTTGCTGACAAGCCATTGCTTTTTTCGTTCTGCCCCCGATTTCATTCCCTGCCCCTCGCGTGCCTTTTGCGCTTCTCCCGCGCCCGAAATCCGCTTCGCCTTTCCTTTCAAACGCCTGCCAAGCAGGCTGAAATAGCATCATCTTGTTGAAATTTACCTGGACAATTACTCTAAAGGCTGCCGTAAGAGGAAGTGAATATGCTTACCCGGCTGTGGTGTGATGTGGACAGAGAGTGCTCAGGTAAACTTTTTGCCAAGGTTCTTTTCTCGTGAAGTCTTTTATAGGCGTGTCGTACCTGGTCAAAAGAAGGAGAATATTACTACGAGAGGATCTCAAGAAAAAAAAAACTCAAGTTAAGGAGGCACTACTCATCAAGGAATTAAGTCCAAAACTGAAAAGGGATAGCAGCCTGGACTTATCACCTTTGTACGGCGCGTTAATATGGTCACGTGGCTTACAATCTTCACGTCGCTGGTTTTTATCTTAAGTAAACGAACGACTCCAGACTTCTTAGTTTTTTTTCGTCTGAGCAGTATAACGTCTCTATCTCAAGGTGGACCTTACACGTCTTGCACTCTGTTCGTACGCTGATTGTTGCTAATTGTTACTCATACGGGATTCTTCGGAGACACCGACGACGCGCAACGGGTTAACAGGGCTAGGAGGGGAAAAAACCGCGCCTACATATTAATCCCAAAACATATATTATGGATACATACCTCGGTGTTCCCAATGCAGTGGAAAGCAAAAATGAAGAGTCCCTGCGGTGGACAGATTTGATTTTATTACAGGTATTAAAATATATTTTTTGGACACAGTATTTCTTTCCTTTTTCAGGTTAAGACATGAAAAGTGAAGAGCGCGCTGAAAGAAGACTATTTAGGAAAAGTAGAAAAGTGATCATAGTAGAATAAAAAGATGCGATCAGCGTTTTTGATACTTTCGATCGTTAAATACTGGGAACGAAAACGTCACGGACAAGTTGGTGGTAGGCGCAAATCCATGTTAAGATAGCATGAAAACTCGTACACTCTGATTACAGTCCACCCAGGATTAGCGCTATTCAAGATTTGGCCCAGGCGTACGTTCCTCGAAACTCCCAAAAACACTTTGGTCCCTAAAAACTATTTTTTGTGCGCAAAGTTTATTAGCAGAAATGTGATTTTAACAAATTTCGAATGAAAACAAATTTACCCTGGTCGAGAAATGTGTTGGCTTATTTTGCACATAACTCCAAAAAACGTTATATATTAAAACATGGATTAAAACAACAACACTTTCCACGCCAGAACACTCTTATATTGCAACGCGGTAACCACTTTTCTTAAAGTGAGTCTTATCAAATCAAACGACGAAAAAAAAATCTACACCTTCTTACCTGGAGTGAGTTGAGGATGGCGAAGAGATATTGAAATGCAATGGTATTCTTGTTGATTGCCATGATACCAAACACCCAAGTCAATCCAAGCAGTGGCAGCAGCACGATCATGCCTTTGACACCAGCTCTGAAGTCAGACAATAAGTTAATACTGATGGTTTTTCATGAAAATGTTGCCAACACTGTTCGGCATTTGGTGTTGTCGGTTGCCAGAACCTAAACTGAAGATTTTAGAAGCATGCCACAGCTAAAAATATAAAACTACAATCCGCAACAAAATTGTTGCGCCGTCGTCCTCAAATAGGGTAACTTCAGAGAACAAAACAATCCACACCCCTCCCCCCCCCCCCCCCAAACCAAAAGAGGAGGCGGTTTTTTTTTCCCGGGGCCCCCAAACCCCCCCCACAACTCCTCGGGGGGGGGGGGGGGGGGGGGGTTTTTTTCCCCTTTTTTATTCGGAAAACCCCGGACGGGGCCTTTTGGGGCTCGCTGCGCCACCAATTTTCCCCCCCCGCAACACCCCAGCACCTTCTTTTCTTTTTTTTTTTCTCATGGCTCAATATCTAGTTAAGCCTGGTATAAATCTTGAAATATCATTGAAGCTGGCAACGCTTGACATCATAGACAAGATCTGCCTTCTTGTCTCCCACCCTTGAGCTTTACCATATGCCTCTGCTAAGGCCTGAAGATAATTCTTGGACGTTTGTGATAATTCATCGAGTTTAAAAGCTTTGTTCATGGCAGGGGACGAGACGACGGCTTGCTAAAGAGAACCTGCATAATTAGGTGTAAGATCTTGTAGGACGGATGAATAAGGATGATAGGATGAAGAAAAGATCTCCACTGTCCTTTTGGTGTATCTCCTTCTTAGTGCTCTCTCCAGCTTTATCCCATTCCATCCAGGGCCGAGTTATTGGCGGGATGTTCTTCGAAACCAGATATTCGTTCAACCTTTTGCGAGGTTCTTGCATAGTGGTTGGGGCCTCGTCACTCGTGGAAGAAATAAGGCTTCCAGTATCCGGACTGAGGAACGTCTCATCATCCCGCCCTCTTGACGATATCTCCAGCCTCTTCAGTTCAGTTGCAAGGTCATCAGACGATAACTCACTACTAGTTGTTTCTGCACTTGAACGGACTGTTTCCCCCTCTACCTGAAACAGTTCAAACAAATATATTGACTATAAAGCATGATAAAACGTTTATTTCGTTTTATTTTATTCATAAGTCAACACCCACACAAACCCGTTAAGAAAGAAAGAAAGAAATGAAAAGAAATCTCCTAAAGTAAAAAAGGATTAAAAATGAAATGAAAGAATGAATGATAAATGTTCTTTTAAAAGTAAAACATTTCATACCATCGTTAAAGTAGCCACTTAAACGAACGATTTACACTAGTGTTTCTTATTACTACTTACCAACAAATGGGGCTCAGGTAACTCGGTGTGAGACCTCGGGGACGGGCTCCACCCCACCTGAAGCAAACACTGGAGTTTGGTTGGGCATGGCCTCTTTGCTGATATACTCGTTGCATTGTTTACAAATTGCTTTAAATGGAAAAACAAAAGCAAAATAAAATGAACAGACGAACAGAAATTAATGTCTATGCACTGTATAAACAAATGCATTAAAAACATACCTAGAAAGAAGACAATTTCCTGCCCGCAAGACCAATAATTTTGAATGAGGACCGCAAGGTGTACTAGGATTACCCGCACCCCCAAGGCAAAAATACAAACAAGGGACACGTGATAATTAATACATCTTAAAAGCGCCTTTCCCTCTCCTTGCACGCTCTCTCCTCTCTTGTCGCTGTCTCGTGGAAATTTCTTACTGTTTCTTTAATAGAGTGCTAGCAAACTCCTCGCCTTGTGTGCCACCTTGTATGTGATTCTTAACCGTAAAAAATCACCATCATCTAACCAATCTTCGCAGAAAAGTCTGCAACTTACGTGATCCAACTGGAATAAGTGTGTTCGTGTTTTTGAAAATAAACGCCGACTTCAAGCTATCCACTCGGTGGCTCCCTTTAGCAGTTGTAGATTTATGTACCGCTAATTCTTTGGGTATTGTACACATGGTCTTCCCTGCCCTCCAGCGGATGCCGAAATCAGCCCTGTGCCGTGGACAAATGCTCAAGGCATAGTGATGTTCTTCAACTGAGAAAACCCCTAGAAGGAGAATGATGTGTTGAGAATAACCACCCTCAAGTGCATGATGGTAAAAAGAAAAACGTATAATAATAATAATAATAATAATAATAATAATAATAATAATAATAATAATAATAATAATAATAATAATAATAATAATAATAATAATAATAGAACTATAACAGCGAACAGACCAGATATCATCGTTAAAGATTCAGTGAATTCCACCTGCAAACTTATTGATATGACTGTTCCATCAGATAGAAATATCACACTGAAGGAAACTGAAAAAAAATGCAAGTACAAAGACCTAGAACTAGAAATACAGAGAATGTGGCATATGAAAACCGTAGTGATCCCTGTAGTTGTTGGTGCGCTTGGTACAGTGAAGAAGGGTATGGTAGAAAACATCAAGAAAGTATCAGAGAGAGCTAGTATGACAGAGATTCAAAAGATCTGCATGCTGGGATCTGCACGAATCCTTAGAAAGGTGCTCAGTGTATGAACAGAATGATTGACTTGAGTGACTGACGCTCTAGGTGCATGGTTTGCGCCCGGCTGATGCGCAAAAAGAACACCAGCAAAGACTGTGATAATAGAGAGAATAATAATAATAATAATAATAATAATAACTTTATTTCTACAGCGCTCTTATCCTATGTTCAAGGCGCTTTAGAGACATGTAAACAACATTATTGAAAAATATTTACAAATTTACAACCATATCCTATTATACTTAATGCTTAAAATAGGAAAAAATTTAAACTAAAGCGACTATTAAACCATTTCATTCATAATGATAAAAAAGGGAAAAATTAAAACTAACGCAATATATACCAAGCTATAAAAACAATGATCCGTTACATACTTTACATACTTTACATACTTTTTGATATTCCTGGATCTCTAATGCTTACACAAACAAATGAAATCCGTTTTCCTTGCTTCCTAAGAAGCGCGTTACCCGTTTTTCCCAACCAATCAATTTTCATTTGTCCTCACCTGACTTGGGAAGTGTTGCCCGGATTCTGCAGTGACGTCACCGATGCTATGATCACCTTGATTACCATGATCATGACAACAAAGTTAATCTGATAAGAAAATGTACAAAACTCAGTCCTCCCACCCTCAGAAACGATAAGGGGAATGGGTACAAGCTTTCGGCGCAAAGATTTCTGGGATCGCTCGGGTGGACAATCGTTACTTGTGATTGGTTGATGGTTAGCTTGAATACAATCGACCAATCATAACTAACGCTTGTCCACACAAACGATCTCAGAAATCACTGCAAGCAAAGCTTGTACCCATTCTTCCTAGAGTTTCTGAAGTAAGAATACAAATTAAGGAAAAAAGGCCCTCTGCTAGTAGGGAGGGTCTAACTCGTCCCAAAAGTATACTAGAAACTACTACTAACCGCCTATTGTTAAGTGGTTAAAGGCACATAACTCAAAACTGATCGAAATTGTCTTCTAGTGAAAGTCAAGGTAAGAAAAACTGAAGCAGATTATCAGGGACTGTACTGTCTACGAGAATTACCACGGTTTATTTAAAAAAAAGTAATGTAAAAAAATGTCTACATGTGAACTTACAGTCATAATGATGAGAACAGGAGCAACGAAGGCCCATATAAGGCCACCTCGGATTGATATCCAACAACTGAAATGTAAACATGCCACACTTAGACATAGTGGAGAGTTTTGAAGACAACGAAATAAAAAGTCTGATCTCAAGTTCTTAACATACTGAATCGAAAACATTTAGCCTTCTGATAATTTAATTGTGGTGATTCTAATGCTAATTATTCAGTGTTTAAATTCCAATACTTACGCGCGCTCATTACCGTAGCCACTCCAACGAGAGCAGGCAGAGATAAAAACAATTGTCAATGGTAAACCTGGGAAATAATAATAAATAATATGATTCAGAAAAAGTTATCTTCCCAGGCTCTCTCTCTCTCTCTCCTTGGCAAATTGGTGATGACGTAAATCGCCCCACAAAAATCTGCGGGGATCCCAGATACGAGTCCCTCGATTTGTTCACTTGTTGTCCAATATAATCTAACCACAGTCTGTATTTGGAGGCCCGGAGTCTCCGGACTCATCAAAATTATGGATAATCATCTTTGCGTACAATTTCTAAGTTACGATTTGTGTAGTTCCATGTTGTCACTAAAAGTTCTTTTTATACTATGAGTAGCATAATACATACAGCGAACAATGGGCAGTTTGACCATGTTTGACCATGGTCATCCTTACTGTAATTTAAAGTTCATGGTTGACTATGGTCAAACCATGGTTATATCACTGCCAAACCATGGTAGACCATGGTTGGAAACCGTGTTCAGCCATGGTAAAACAATGGCCGACCATGGTCTATTCATGCTTCTCTCGCCGGGAACAGAAGAGACCATGCATCAAGTGGTCGCTTACAAGAAACTAGAACCACAGAAAATTATAAAATCGCCAGCCCACAAAAAGTGGTCGGGAGGTGGTCGTTTTACGAGAGGTTCCAACTGAAAGGTTTTGACTGGAAAAATTTTGGTATTTTGGATAAGTGGTCGATTATGGGAGGTGGTAGCACATGGAAGTTTGACTGTAATGGGACACCTTAAAGATAGTAATTTTCCACAACTGTTACTTACCCCACCCTAGGGCGTAGTAATATTTCATCTTAGAGCCCTCACTGAACACTTCCACTATCTTGCTGTAAAGATGAATTCCTTCACATAACATCCAGGTGAACGCCGCTGTGTATAAGTAATGCAGGAACAAGGCTACAGCTTTACAAGCGATCTGCAAACAAAAATCATGCTAATTCAGGAATTAGAAACGTAATCGCACCTGACGGACATTATCTGTACCAACATAAACAATAGAAAAAGATGTTTGGACGTATGATGAGGTCGACAGAGGAAGAGGGAGGAACAGAGAATGGAAATAAAAAAAACCGACAAATAGAAGCTGGAAGAAACGAACAAACAAATTTAAGACATGCGAAAAGAGGCGAAGAATGGCGGTAAAAATGAAATACAAAAGAACAGAAAAGCGTAAATAAGAAAAGGAAAGAAAAGAAAAAATAGGAAATTGAAATGGTTAAGCAAAGCAAAGACTAAGGATAAAAAACGCGGGAAGAGAATAGAACGCACCACTTGTTCCATCAGGAAAAAAGAAATTATCTGGTAGGTTTCAATTGTAACGTCCTAGTTAAACTGATGTGCAAAGAAGTAAGAAACAGATGCCAGGAACCCACTTGAAGAGAATAAGAAAAACCAGTAGTATATCTACCCCCCCCCCCCGGTAAGTCACAATTTTGCCCTAAGTGATAGGTAAGCGTTAATATCGAGTTAGGGGAGGGGTCAGGAGGGATTTGATACCAACAATGATCGTGATACTTACAGGATTGTAGGTGGCATCTATTCCAGCCAGAAATATGATCTGCGCAAGTCCAATAGCAACAACAAGGTTCTTGTGGATCGAGGTACGTTCAGAGGCCAGTGTCCTGGGGATAAAAATGCCTTTATATATGGGGTCTTAAACATGACTGCTTATGTTTCCAAAGCAAGTAAATTAAGAGAGGCAAGAGTTTTGAAACTGTTTTAGTAACACAATAATGATACTCCTAAAAGTAGAGTACCGTATTTCCTCGAATAATAGCCGGGTGCGATTATTCAAGGGAGGGCGAATATTTGAGGAATGCAGTTATTTCAAATATTGCTCACTGGAAGTAGTGCCTTAAATATTTTGTTTTATTTTCCCATTAAAACCAAAAAACGATCACATATGTGAATGTCAAGAACCTTGGCGTCAGAGATTGAATTGTCACTGATCAGTGTTGATGGATCGGACTCTACTTTGACTTGGCAGGGAGTGGATAAACGAAAGACAAAAAAGGCAAAAGTGGTGGTGGCGGGGGGGGGGGGCTATTATTCGAGGGAAGTGATTATTTTAAATATTTCCGTCTAAAGAAGGCGATTATTCGAGGAAGGCGATTAATCGAGGGACTGCTATTATTCGAAGCAATACGGTAGTTCAGCGACTCCACTACTTCAAATCTGGATCAATTTAGGTTTCCGGTAAACTGCCCACCTACCCCTCCCCTAAGCCATCATTTTGCCCAAAGTAAGAAGTAAGTGTTAATGTTAGCTTAGGGAAGGGGTAGGTGGGCAGTTTCCCAGGAACCTAAATTAATCCTGAAATTTTAGTTGCGAGGTTCGTGGTTATACCGGAGTCTGGTGCACTGGGCGCTATTGGAGTATTCTGCCCCCAAACCCCCTCCCCCCCTGCTCTGGTGGTATCCCGTCAGGTAGTATGCCTAGAGTTAGTGTGTTAAAAAGTGTTCAAGAGAATAATAGCCTAGTTAGAGATGGAAACGAGGCTGGAGTTCAGCTTGTTTTGATGCAACCCTTCCTGCTTTCTTATGCAAATGAAGTTGTTTTTATGCCAACTCGTATAGTTCAAGCAAAATTTCCATAAGAAAACAATGGAGGTTTAAATCAAAACAAAGTCAATCCCAGTCTCACATTCACTCGAAGACTGTGGCTTTAAGCCCACAACTGAAAAATGGTCTATTATCTTTTTATCTATTATTAAAACGAAATTTGCCGCCGTTTTACTCGCATCCAAGTCTGAAAGAGCTTACTCGAGTGACAAGAAGGTGGCCAATGTAAGAGCAAGTCCAAACAGCGATATTCCACACCCAACATATGTTATAACCGTCAAAGCCTTATAATGTTCCTTTGAAATCTGGAAATTAAAAAGAAAAATGTTGGAAGCTCACCTATGCAAAGAAAACAAAGCAAAAATAGGCCAACTAAATTAGCATAGTACGAGAAGTTACTTTTCCCGCATCCATCTATAAACACACGCGCCTGGATATTTTCGGTCATCGTCGTTTTTTGCAGAAGTAAAACAAAAAAATATTTTTCAAGCTTACTTCAAATGTTTTGACTTGCATCAAAATGGCGAAGTTTGTCAAGTGATTGCAGGCGCACTCCACGGTCTTTTTTTTATCTTTGACCACGGAACATCCTCTGTCTGACCACGTGCCAACGTTTCTATGATTAACAAAAACATAAATGTTAATAGGAAAACTGCATGATGACATCATTTTACTACAACTACCAGAATCCTTCAGTTTGTTGTTTTCTTGTGCAAATTAGGGCTATCGTTTTTTAAACTTGGCAGATTGACTAATTTAAATAAG